TTTAGTCCACGTTTCTCATAAACTATAGCACTATACCTATATCACGCGCATGAAATCATCACACCTGATGTTAGCTAGCTCAAAAACAGTTTTCTTCACTGAACTGTATCGCCAAGTTATCAATTATTACAAACTTTTGCATCAACTGGCCCTTCAAATACATTAAATATAAAGTATGCACATTTCATTGCATTACATCAACACATTAACGTCGGTGTTTCTTTGGCAGTCCGGTTACAATGCTCGCCTTCTAATCTAGAGGTTGCTGGTTAGATCCGCAGGGGTTGATATTGCTCCCAGATGACATTTGTGTGTGGACTTTCAGTTAATGATGCTTTCTAACGAAAGGTTGACATTGGATATTTACAAGAACAAAGAATGTATGTTAATTTCATAAAATGCAAAATTGCCATGGCGCTGAGATACAATACACCCATTTCACACTCGCGGAGCTCATACAGTTTCCTTCACTGTGTCACCAGTCCCACGCATCATACATTCAGTCCACGTTTCACATCACCTGCTCCCGATGCATACTTTAATTAACACGTGTTCGCCGGCGCCGCTGTCAAGTGTACAAACAATACAAGTGCTGTGACGTAATCAAGTGAGTCTCGGCTCCCAACAAGACAATGCTCTGCATGTCTTCCTTCCTCCGCTCCGGGATTAGATAACGGTCCTTTAAACGAAAGTTAAATCGCGGAAGCGCACATGGTGTAATCTCTTGGGCCTTCTCGTTAGTTATGTAGATAGCGTGGTAACTAGTCGCTAGTCGCCCTACGGAGACTACAAGCCGCGTAACTCGCAGCCTACCTGATAATGTGACAGCACAAGTCGGAGAACCGAGGGAGGTCCTCTGCAGGCTCGTTTGTCTGTCACAATATTGGTGAATATTTTTGCAATGACTGTGAACCTGTTTTTCACAACGTTTTCCATTTGATTTCGGGTTTCATTTTTTCCCCTCGGGGAATCAACTCTATCCTGCCCCAGACATACAAAGACTTTGTACTAGACATATTGTACTAGATCTTAGTACAAAGTAGATGATCCATACTTACTTATTGTCTTGACTGAGGTGTGTAGCTAAGTGTTTATATAGCTATCATAAAAATCTGAAGATTTCCAGTTAATTTCTGAGAAAGGTGAGCTTTTTCGTGGTTCGAAACTGGACCCAGCTGTCCCCGATTATCACCCTTTTAATCTTGGTTAAAGAAATTGCTTAACAGGCCTTTCTATCATAATCCGTTTAGCACTATTCCTTTACTTTATCTTAAAATCTTAAAATAAACATCTTGTTGTTTTGGCACCATATACATAATATAATCTAATTTCAAGAAGATTTTTGAAACGTAAGCCCTAACAAGAAAAAAATCTCATTTGTCAGAGGAATGCATGTGTCTAATAAAGTCGTTGCATTTCAGCTTTAAAAGTAAGACGCATGATGGAAACTACATGAAAACAACAACAATTCCTTTTCATCACTTTTAGGACTAATACAATGGTCTGATAGAAGATATGCAAAATATAAAAATTATGAGGTCGAAACATTATGCTGGTATGTAGCCTAAATGATGTGGTAAATTGATTGGTTCAAACCAATGCTAAGCTTAAGAAACACTTTCTATGACATAGTACTAATTTAAGCGGTTTTTTTTTCTGGAGGCTGACAATCAAGGATGAATTCTCTCCTTGAAAACCAACAAAAAAAAGGAACTTACTCATATAAATTAAGGACTCAATTTTGATGAAAATAAGTTTGAAAATAATATATAGTTCCCACTTAAGAGACCAACCTCATTCATGGATGAACCTGTAGCTAAAGGGTTAATTGTACAGGACAAGTGTAGCTGGTGAGTAAAAAAACAAGCTTGTCGGCATACACGATATTTAAAACTCCCACCATTAACCAAATCCTCCGACATTATCGATACTAATCCTAATTGTCGCTCATCTGTGGGTACAACTAGATGGTTTACGATCTAGTTCGATCAAAAGCCGGTTGGTGGCTACTTAAAACGTTTTACATGTGGTAAATACACTATGCTTGTTTACGAGCTTCATATAAAAAGGCAGCTAGTAGCTTGTAAACTTACCTTGTGTAATCAAACCTTTAAGGTGGGCTAAATTTCATTGGTTATTTGCGGGATTTGAACCTGTCAATCCAAAACAAAAACCCCGCATTCCAACCACTGGACCAGCCGCGTTGAATACTATTTTTAGAATAAGATGATAGCTCAACTTCAAAAACCCTTTTTGTCCTTAATATAATATCCTCATAGCAACAAGTCTTCGAATGGTGAATTTATAGGGGTAATAAAGATGCACTGTTTACACATACAAATTTACACTCACACACTTGTGTTATCGAAAATGTAAATTCATTTAAATCACGGAAATACTTATGTGAGGGTATTACGATTGTGGTACAATTCAAATAAATTGTTAATTTAACGGTTGGGTAGCAGAGGGGTTACAGTGCTCGCCTAACACTCAAAAGGTCACCACTTCGTTGCTGAAAAAATCAGTAGCTTTTTAAAGGGTAAACTGGACCCAGGTGTTCTTGATCATTGGGTTTTGAATAAATTATCCTGTCTAATAAAACAGCTGGTCTTGCGTCCCCATCTCAGTGATTGATAATTGAAAACTTGAACAATTTCTAAGTTGGATTGGAGTTTTCCCATGCAGAGTAAGGACTGTTTTTGACTGGGTTTTATTTGACACAGATTGGTAATAATTTGGTACAGTGGATTTGTCAACAACTTGTACGAAACTATTTTGGCGATTACCCGCATCGTGTTTGGTAGTGTAGACATGAATCAGTTCCAATGACAGATGACAAATCTTGGATCCCTCATGAACATTCTGTGACTAACTAATCAATGAATTTATCCCTCAGAGGTAGAAGCAGAGTAAAAGACCAGATACACCAACAAGAAAACAAAATCCACGTGTAATCAACATGACGAATATACAATAATAGTCCAATTAGTAAACAAAAGCGATTGCTAAACTTTACAAATTTGTCACCAAACTTATCAATGTACAGTATTTAATTATTATTTACTATAGTGAATTTATCTACAGCGAGGAATATATACTTTTATTGGTATTTATGTATGTAAAAAGCACTGTAATGTGTAATGTTAATGTTTAAGCTACACAGGTAACTGATATTATTACCGACATATTTATAGGCCTAAGGGTTCGAAGTTCGAATAAGTAAGTTTGAACAATTTTATACTGGAATAACTGTTTCTCTTAGCTTAATCTAGGTTTACCATATGTATAGGCCTGCGAAAACATATTTTGCATTATGTTTTAAATATCTTAGGGTTTAGTGGGTTCATTGAAGAAAAAAACAGTGCTGAAAAGTCTTTTAACAAAGCCTTTTAGAGCCTCCATTAGCTCTTTAGGTGTTTTCCTTGGTAAAAAGATAAAGCCATGTTTAAATACTTAATCTTGTAAAGATTTTTACTGCCAAGGACAGTATGACTAGAGAAATGAAAAAATAAAATCTAATTTAAGGTTAATTTGACATCTTAATTTTTTTACTACACATACTTGCATTACACATCAACCTGGAGGCAAGTAAGCGTAGCGAACGAGCTAACCTGAAAACAAGTGAGCGCAGTGAACGATTTCCAACCTGAAGGTGAGTGAGCGTAGCGAACGAACTTCAACCAGGACGTGATTGAGCCATGCGAATACTTATGAAGTTAAGCGGGGCAAAGCCCGCGGGTACAGCTAGTTAATTAATAAAAGAGGTAAATTCGTCTAGCGTTAGCAAAGTGTGTTGTAAAGTTTGATTAATTATATTACAAAATTAAATTGACAAATTATTAACTTTATTTTTATTGACATTTTTTAAATAATAATTTTACTGTGTTGTGTACACGTTATGTTGTATCTTCTTCTTATCAAGATATAAGTTAATTGTAATGCAAGGTGGTTTATTTCTGTTTGTTATTGTAGCCTTATACAGTAGTTAACCAAACTGGACTTCGGTAAAACCATGCGTTTAAGTCTCCATTGCCAAACGACAAAATAATCAAATCCTAAGGTACCTGAATACGAGAACTTTCTCTGTAACTTCTTTGTAATTAAAATATTGTTATAGCATACTTTGCTTAACAGCTTTATCGCTTTAACCTGCAAATTAAATTGTAGTCTAGATAAGCCGAGATAATTTTAAATTAGCTTATGACCGTAAATTGTAATGATTTTGGAAAACTAAATTTGAGGCTCTCAAAAATGCATTTTTATTAACTATCTGGTATCAAGAACTGTCTTTAAACTTATTGTGTAATAAAAAAAACTCTAAGCCTCATTTGGCAATTCATTTGATTTAGTTAGTGTGAATAATAAATGTAATTTAATGGCGTAGTTATTATGCGCGACATATGAGCTGTGCCTTTTCGGTGATCATGTTATTATTATTTTGATAAATGTTCAGTTCAATTTTCCAAAATTGGTAGTATTTACGAAATGAATCTTCATATACAAGGCTAATCCCTTGACCATTGATTTTATCTTATAAAACATGCATAAAAAGGAATTTAGACAATAGAAAAATAATGGTTCATTCCTTAGTATCTTCCTGTAGGCCTTGGTACCTTTAAACCTCGTTCCCTTAATTTCACCCCTTCACCAACCCCCAAAATCACCAAACCCATAATTCCTTACCCAATTACAATATTTCAAAAAGTGCTACGTGTTGTTGAACAGCATAATAGAAGAAAATTCAAAACATATACCGTACTAAGAAACCACCTCAAAATTCTTAAGTTATTCGACAAATTAAAATACAATTTCCTGACTAACCCATAAATTCATCCCCAAAACAATCTCAAACCACCCCCAACATTCGTAGCCCTTCTACAATCCCCGCGTGCTGCGGGTTGCTCCGGCGGAGAAAGTTGTATCGCGGGGTAGGGACGCCGGCGCTGGTGGGTCTATATAAGTGACAGGACCCCTTGGATCAGTACTCTCCTAGTCCGTGGGTCCTGGACGCACAACATGGGAGGAAGACGTCGCCTCGTGGTCAGTGAAGTGTTGTGATAGTGTAGCCAGTGGATATGTGGATAAGTGCTAGATTAAGTGGAGCCAGTTTGAAGTGTTTCGTCGTTTTGTCTGCGGAAGATTTGTTTGAAAATCGCGAATTATTTGTTCATGAACACGATTTTTTGTTCATGAACACGATTTTTTGTTTATAGTTTTGTAAGGAATTGTAACAGTTCGTTGTTTTGATTTGACAGGCTTAAGGAATTTTGTTTAGTAAATTCAAAGTAAAAAAATATTTTTTGCTTGCGCTGTCAACTCAAGTAAAATTTTGTACTTGGTAATTTTAAAAATATACCCTCAATGATTCCAAGTGAGGTAAAACTTGGATTTTGTTTTTATCGTAAAAATGTCAATCGTGTTCAAAAACATTATCCATCCTTGAACTTTCTCAGACTCTACAACACAATACTGAAAATTGTGAAATTATATTTTCATTCGCGGTTTTTTTATTGGACCATCATTAATTAAACACAAACAAAATTGAAAAGTTTTTTAGGAACATGCTTATACTTACAACAGTTTCATTTAATCGGACGAAACCCTTGTCGAAACACTTCAAATAGCCTTATTTAGTGGAACTAATTAGTTATGGAGTTCTATCTTACGATTTGCTCCGTATAATATAACCGTGGTTTCATACAGAAAATAAACTAGTCAGAAGGGACGAATCGTATTTTAGATGGCGGTACATTAAATAACTTTTAGTTTGGTAGTTCACGTGGTTATATTATGAGAACTTCAGTAATTAAATTACTTCTTCCAACATAAAAGTAAAAAGAGAACGTGAATTTTTACGATATAGTTTATATAGGTAGATGATTGTTAATCCTAAAATATAATTTGGCAAATCCATTAACGTTTACAATTTTGATAAAATGTCTCACATTGTTTGAAATGTTTGTTTCTGATTGTTTATTAATTCTTAGTGTATTTTTTAGTTAAATACAAATTTCATTTTAAGTCGAACTTTTAATTCTGTTTTACGTCATTTAAATTCATAAAATCAGCATTTTAATAAACTACAATTAAATCAATAAGACGAATTTAGAATATTTTTTCATATGTTGGTATTTTAAAAAGACCGTTCTGAAACAAATCTAAACATTGTCAATAATTAAACAAAATTGATGATATTGCGTTATATGTTGATCATCTCTTGCTCATAGTTACGTGTTAGTGTTAAAATTTAACCATGATTAATTTAAGAGTCGTGTCTTTAAAATTGTTCGGAAAGGGAATAACATTGAATATACGTTTTGATACGTACATTAGGGGGATAAACTGAAACAACGAAGTTGACTTATTTTACATTGTTTAAATATAAATTCTTATGATAAATGTTTTTGCATATGATAATATAAATTTAAAATGTGGTAAACAGTAACCATTTAACTGCTTTACTATATAAAGGATTCATTCTTTAGTATTTTAGTTAACTAATCAAAGTATTATTTTAGTTTTTTGTCACTTTTAAATTATTTGATCAATTACAGTAACTTAAAAATTTAAATTAGTAAAATGATTGATCCAATGGCTTGGGTTACCTCTTCACTTATTTATCGATATGGGTTTTATATTGGTAAGTCGTTCATAAAGAGGTAACAGTATAAAGTAAACTTAAGGACAATATCTAATAAAATTTAATGTTTTAATGAAATTTTGCAATATTGATTTTAAATTACATTGTTGTTATATTTTGTATTTATATAATTGACCAAATTGTTTAGATGAATAAGAGATACTATTGCATATACAACTTAATAAAAGTACATTTTCTGTCTTCATTCATTCAATGAATAGATGAAATTACAAAATAAACAACACAATAACGTAAATTAGTTAAGTAGGCTACTTATATCGCCAGAACGAGAGGTTCAAGTTGAAATCAATGCAGTTTGCTTAAAAAAACTATTTTATCACAGATGGTTTGAAAATAATTACAGTACAACTTTTTCTGGACTATGAATGACCAAGCAATATCTTTCCTAAATTTTTAAATCAGAGTTATGATTTCCACCATAGCTATAACTAACTACTGAGATGGCTGTGAGTGTTACAACTGTCATAAATTTATCAATGGTAGACGTAATAATCAATTGCAGAGTTATTAGTGTCTCTCGGAGCTTAGAATGTCCGAGTTTCAATAATGTAGGATTTATGACTGTGGGAGTTAAGATTGTTTAAATATTAATGTAAAAAAACAAATGTTCAGGGTGGTGAGTTTTCAAGTTATACTGTAACTATGAGAGTTGTGATTCAAAAAGTTATTTCTGTTAGAAATCAAACTATCCAAATTTTGAAATGTCATGGTTGTATTGTTGGAGTTATAACTGTTTAAGTTGTTACTGTGAGAGCCACGGTTGTCAGAGCAATGAACAGGGGTAAAATTGTCATAGTATCGGAGTTTTCTAATATCGAAGTTATAGCTGTCGGAAGTACAACAGCCGGGGTGATAACTGTATTATGATCAGAGTAATAGTTGTAGATGTCGTAGTTATAGATGTCGGAGCTATGCACAGTCGTGAGCGAGGTGAGGTAACCACTGGTTACGTATCGGAGGAATCCCACATGATACAATTACCAGTCCCGGGCAAGGACGCAGCTTTCCTTTACCTGCTTGACCACTTTCATCGCGTTCCCGCCAAACTGGCTCTTCTCGCCCTTTGGCGGGTAAACACTTCCGCCACTGCCCACTCCCCCGCCCCACGCTCCGGCACTTCCGCGTATCTGCATCCAGGGCGTAACCTTTCACTCAATTATTCACAACAGAAGCGTCAATAGCTTCACAACTTTGAATTAAATAATGCTAACTTAATATTTCGTACAAAAACTTAAAAAATACGCGTGAGAATTACTAGGATTTAAAGCGTATTTAGTTGAAAATGTGAGCTAATTTTTAAGGGGTTGGCGGCCTTTTCAACCTTCACTTGACTTTCTGTATAGTTCTCAAGCGTGTGCGCGGATCTTATTCAGCGAAGTCGTGAGCATTTACAGTACAGGGGTGAACTGTACTGATAACATTAACGGTGTGCACTAAGATAAGAAAATTGCTATCATGGATTCGTCATCCCGTCTTGTTACCGATTGAGCTACCGACTCGCCTTTTATTTACTGCGTTTGAACAACTTGTTTGGCAGGAAATGCGCTTTTAGTGTTTTTGTCTTAGTTTTTGGGGGTTAGAGGTTCCAGGCTGGATTCAAATTTGATTTTCAACTATAATATAACTTAAATCATGTCAACTAATATATCAACTAATATCTGAAATCATGCATGCATGAATAAAAAAATGAATGGTTTAACATTAACAATTAACCTCACCCTCATAGGACATTATACACTTATACATTTATAGGACTTATACATTTTATTGATAACTAATGAAAACTGAACAAACAAAGTTTACATGAAACAAAAACCTCTTTCATATTTAACTATTTTCTTTACACTGACTGGATTCATACAGATAATATGTCCTCAATTTACTAAATTTTAAGGAAAGACATTCGTTCTGGTTTCGAACTCCGACGCTTATCGTGGGTTTCAAATTTAAAGAGTCAAATTTTAATTTAAATCTATTGGCACCCAGTACGATTATTATACATTTATGTACTTTTACCACCCCAATAAGATATTTTGTTAATCAGTATCACTACACTTTTTAATTAACGCTGACTAGAACCATGACTCTAAATTATAATACAAACGCCTGCAAATTTAAATGCTGTATAAAAATTCTCAATGGAAAAACTCATTTTCATTGCATTCATAATTCCACATATCTATTTTGAATTATCGCTAATAACCCATTCGCTTACACTACAACAAACCACGTCAAGGTTGACGACTCACAACATTACGAACAATGCGTTATCTCGTGTTATCGCTGCAGGTTGGGTAAAAAGTTGTAACTCCAACCTCCTGTTTCCGCACACCTATGACGTAACAAGACAGTCGCACAAATGATGTCACCCGTTGTTTAATAATTCCCTAGACAAGGTCGTACTTTCTCAAGCCGCGGATGAATACCAATTTGTCCAGATCCTTTGGCCTCTGGGACCGGAAGCGTTGGGACGAACTACTTTCACTCGCGGAACTCTGAATTCGTAAATGAATTTCATCACATGGCGGCCAACAATGCCAAACAATACAATAAATGAGAAAGTGCCCGTCAGATTGTCTATGTCTCTCTCTGCTACTTGTCATCTCACCACCTTGCCCCTTGACTTGAGCTCTCTAACGTTGAAGTAGGTAGCCAGGACGAGCTTTGCAAATTAGTTTATTGGAATTCGGCATTGTTTCTTTTACAATATAAACTTATATTTTTATTAGAACATCCAAATATTACAAAACTCGATTTTAATGCTACAAACGTTTAGACATAGATGATCTTCGATTCATAAAACAGCTATCAATTCATTCACGGTTTATGATTGGTATTCTATTTAAAAACAACTCGTTCTCCAAAAGGGCTCATATTTATATCCTGAGTATAATCTCTCTTACCTCAAATATTTTTCCAAATGATCCGATACAACTCCTTATTTATATAAAAAGTAATTTTAATTTCCTGGTAGATGTCTTTAAAGTTTGGCACCAGGAGCAAAAAACTTGTTTTATTTTATTTTGTGTATTTCTACACCAGTGACTTTTTTACGTTTTGAAAGGGAATGTTTGGTTCTTTTGGTAAAACAGTTGAAACCCTTACAATTTATAAACATAATTGTAAAATCATCTCATACAGTATAAATTTTTATATAAAATGAGGTAGGTAGGCCTTGTAGGTGATATCCCAGTTTGGATGTATCACGTGTGCCTCAATACTTTGAGGTAAATGTTACACGCGTAACTGATAAACTTAAGTCCCCCCTAGATCGTGCTAAAGGTATTTCAGCGGATGATGTCGATGAGCCCCTATATGTCGTCTTCAACCTAGCTCGCTCAGCTTTATTTGTTTTCTTATCTGATGTTTTGCATTACAGGTGGCGCTCGTGCTAGTGCTGCACGTTGGCCTCGCGGTCAGCAAAGCTCTTCCAGACGTGTCAGAACAGCTGACGCCGCCGCAAGAAACAGCGGCCGCGCCTCTGTACGGTGATTATCAACAGCCACAACAGCAGCAACAACAGTAAGTGTCAACAACTTGTTAAACAATCCAATGGCTACTGGTGGTAGTGGATTATAGTTGATTACTGTCTCAAGTAGGACAAATAGATAGATTTCAATGTTAGAATGAAAACTAATTAATTAGGCTCGAGTTTAAAATCATTATGCAAACCACAAACAGTATGGCCAAAACGTAGTGTATCGGTGATAAAGAGTAATCTTTCTTACATCTCATTTTCACCTTTTCTTCTTAAGTTGTAAATAATTTTAAGTTAAAAGATCTCGCAGAACACTACGAACGCGATTAAACTGGTGAACAAATAATCGGAAAGCGAATAAAGTAGTGCTACTCAAGTGAATTTATGTAAAAAATTGTCCCAATAATTAGTTATCTAGTTACAATGAACCAAGTATTTATTTTGCCAGGTAGTTCATTTTTAGTAGCTGTAGTGTAAATAATAATGATATGCTACTTAACGCAAAAGTTAACTGGTTCTTGTGATTGTAGGGCCGCAGTCCCAGAGTTGCAAAGGAGGTATGACCCTCATGAGGAGGAACACCACCATCATCATGAGGAGCATCACAAGGGCTACTGGAAAAAGAAGCTGATCTGGAAGCCAGACTGGGTCAAGATCTGGAAACCGGCCAAGAAACAGATCTGGAAGCAAGGCTGGAAGAAAATCTGGAAACCCATCTGGGTGCCAACGAAGAAAGCTGCGTGGAAGGAGTACCAAGTTCCCGAATGGAAGAAGTACTGGAAACCAATCTGGGTACAGATCAAGGTCCCAGTTTGGAAGGAATATCAAGTTCCCGACTGGAAGAAAATCTGGAAACCAATCTGGGTCGAGATCAAGGTCCCCGCATGGAAAGAAATCCAGGTACCCGACTGGAAGAAGGTTTACAAGCCAGTCTGGAAACACATCGAGGTCCCCGCATGGAAAGAGATCCAAGTGCCCGATTGGAAGAAGATCGTCGTACCTAAGCTTATCAAGGTCGGTATCCCCGGTGAAAAGCACTTAGGAAAGGACGAACACGGATGGGAATACACCAGCCACGATCTTTGGAAGAAGAAGGTAATTTGGGAAACCCACTGGAAGAAGATTTGGAGAACCGAGAAGAAACAGATCTGGGTGCCATCAAAGAAACTAGTCTGGAAAGAAGAATGGAAACAGATCTGGAGAACCGAGAAGAAACAGATCTGGGTGCCCTCGAAGAAGCTCGAATGGAAGGCTGAATGGAAGCAAATTTGGAAGCCCGCTAAGAAACTGATCTGGGTGCCCGACAAGAAACTCGAATGGAAGGAAGAGTGGAAACAGATCTGGAGAACTGAGAAGAAGCAAATTTGGATCCCTGACAAGAAACTGGAGTGGAAGGAAGACTGGAAAGAAATCCAAGTTCCTGCATGGAAAACTATCTGGGTACCTGCGTGGAAGAAGGTATGGAAGCCAGTATGGATCAGCGAATGGATCATCATCCAAGAGGAGCACCATCCACACCACGAGGAGCACGGATGGGACCGCAAGGACAGTGGAGTTGCTGAGTCCAAGCAGATCGGAGTCGGAGTTGCGCTGAACCAACAGACGCAGCAGCTGCAGCAACGACAGCTTCAGCAACAACAGCTTCAGCAACAACCGTTGCTTCAGCAACAGCCACTGCCTCAGCAACGACAAATCCCCGTGTCATTTCCCCAGCAGTAGCACCCCCGACTGATCCCCCGGGTGCCACCCTACCTCGCGTTGCCAAACCCTGTCCCTTCCTTCTCAAAACTCCACAAGTACAAACCAAACGTGTCTGTATAGTATTAAACGTCTGAGCGATTTTACGTTCAGACACTGTATATATAAAGTGTTGTTATATATTATGTGTTGTTAGTTAATTTTTATTCGTTACTCTGTTGTAAATACGAAATAAACTTTTTGTTACTAAACAGAACTTGTTGTTTACGTACGAAACCTTGTCTAATATATTACTGTATTGCATATAAACTTTAGGTATGTAGCTGAAATGTTGACAGGAACTAACAGTTCCATTGTAATTTCACTTCAAATTTTATCTTAAATCAATTGTAAGGTCAATGAAGAATTCTCATTGCATTGCAAATCTAGACCAATCACACGAAAGCGAAGGTGAAAGAATGGCCTCGAAACACAAATTCACACTCACTGTCTCGTTCCTTCTTTAAATACGTGTTAGGTACATTCCAATAGCTTACCATTATCGTTGGATTTTGGATAGTGAACCAATAATACTCTAGGAAACAATAGCTCAATGGCCAATTTATTACATTTGAGCTGCCTTTATTACTCAACCGAAAAATATTTATAGCCCTATAATGGTTTCAAAATTTTCTTGATGCCCTAGAAAAACTAAGAAGGCGAAAAGTTGATTCTGAAAGTTCATATTAAAAAGTTGATATAACCAATAACTATACTGTATAAAGGTAAAATATATTTCAACGATATATCTCATACGTAAGTTATTAATAATCTAGTTAGGTGTAAGGCTGTCTTTTCATCACACAAAACCTAAATAATAAATCAAGTCAAATCTTAGGTAAAGAAATTGACTATTCTCGTTCTCATATCGACCGACTAGATCTGAGAAAATAAAATCCTTTGTCCATAGCCATTTTATAAGTAGTATTAACAAGCAGAACTTGTAGACATAGTAGTTTGTCTTATATGACCAAGTTAAATCGATACAGTTTAAATCCTACACAGGCAGAATGAAAGGCTAGGCCTAAATATCACATGAAAAATTGCTACATACTAAATTGTTAAATAATGAAAACAGACTATAAATATTTATAGTATAATGTAGTTAAAGATAGTTAACAAAAATTACAAACAAAACAAAAATAGACTCCATCCTGTTATCAAGCTTATTTTGGGACCACAAAAAGATTTGAATAGAGGCCCCAAATTGTTACCACTGCTACTGTTTGGAATGATTTTATACAGTACTAGCAGTGTACCCGTTCTACGCACGGGGATCTTATAGTATTCAGTTGAAACCTTTTTATATTAAGAACAGCAGTTGGTTTGCATATTTTTAGATATGCTGGCCAAACTGTTATACATAACTTCATTTTTAGCGAATTTCCCATATAGGGAATAAGCTATTACCGTAGTACTCATGGTAAGACCTGGAAGCGGGACCAATTTTTTTTTCGTTTCGAGGTCCCTAGAGGCCAAAAACACCATCCGTTCAAATTCATATATATATATATATATATTTATATATTTATATATATATATATGTGTCCGTTAGCACGATAACTCGAGCAAAAATGATCCGATTTTGATGAAATTTGGTACAAACGTGTAAACCTACGTTTATTCGAACGAGTTCGCGATCCAGCATGATCGGACCATGGGAACGGGGGTTTACGGGGGGTTTTATGGGGTAAAAATAGGTTTTTCGCATTTTTGACCCAAAAACATAAAATTTAGCAATTTCTTTCCAAACCATTTTGTAGAGCTTAAAAAAACAAATAATTTAGTATATTGAAGCGTTATTATGCGCCTAGTGGTTACGGAGAAAATTACAAAAAACTGTAAATTTAAAATTCCCATGTTATTCTTATGGAGAATAAGTAAACTGTTGTAGTTTGCTTGTTTATGATCATATTTTAATCAAATTTGGATAATGCATTCATTTCATACTAAGCGATTAACATTTTACAAAAACACCTTTTTACCCTCCCTGTTGCAGCAAACCTAAGTACTCGTTAAACTAGGCCTAATGTTATTTAAATAGGGAATGAATGTGATATTTTTAAGGAGGCATTTTAGTGTAAATCCAATCAGGCAAATGGAAATTCGCTTAGTCTGCAGGTTTGCTGCGGCGGGGGTATATGTTGTTTGTTGTTGTTCCGGATCGGTATAACAATCAATAAAAGGTTAAATTACCTGTGTCCGCCGGTCGATCCTAATGTATCCTATTACAGGAGATGCATTTCGGCGAAATTAAATCGCCATCATCAGTCATAATATAAGGTCTTGAGCTTCCCCATTAGGTGCGTCTTGGAGTTTTTGAAACACATACACGAACTGTACACTTATACACATGACGAATAAAACATAAATATGTACACGGTATGCCTACTTTTATTTTCACTATGGACATGTAGACGCGCGTCGGTCGTGTGCCGAGTCTCGACTGAAAATGCTCATTTAAAAAATGTAAGTTTCCCAGCCATATACAACACTGATTCAAGGTCTTTTTCCCGGTTATCAAAACTCAAGGATAATTTTTTACCCAAAGAATCTCCATTTTAATTTTTCGGTTATCCTACAAATTATTGCACTTGCGATTAACTAAATCCGTTATGTAAGGAAAAACGTTTTTAATCTTACTTGGTTTGGATTTGCTTTCAAAACGTGATCGGAATTGGTTGCGGTATTTGTAAACAATCAATCTAAACATATCAGTGACAGCTAGAAGAAGTAATCTTGATTCGAACAGCTGTTCGTTATTTCATAGATGAATATGTGATCATATTGGGAGAAAACTTTACAAAAGTCGCACAAAATTGGGCTTTTAGTCCGTCATTTTATTTACAAAGTAGTGACGCCATATTTTAATGGCTAAAGACAATCTCGCCAATCCAGTGAATACAATAAAATGATTTGGAACTTGATAGGTACTCTCGTTTTTCAGGAGAAGTACGCGTAAAATGGCTCTTAGGCCGTGACAGACAGGAAGACAGACAGAAATTTAGATGAGACTTGTTTCGGTTTCTTTAATGTATAAAACGTAAAAATAACCTAAAAGTTTATGATTCTGAGCAATGTACAGACAAAACTCTAATGTTATTTATATCGATTCGTTATCCAAGCTATTTATTTAAATGGTATTTTAATTAATTTTTAATTACTTTAGTTCAAAAATAGAACGAAACATTTAGTGCTACTGCTTGTTTTCTGCTTGTTTTTGTTAGTCCATGAGTAAATGCCAAACATAGAAATTAGCATAAAATGAGTGGACGTTTAGCCAACATGAACTCACTCGAGAGGTGTCGGACTAAGCGCCCCCAAAAAGCTTTCTAAACAATATGGGACAAGATATTAACTGGCAGTATTAAAATTTAATACATGATTATCATCAATTAACAGTGATATCATTTATAGACGTTTGCCTTTTCATGACAGACGTGTTTAATTTTCATTATTGTAAAAAACACATTTAATGTAGCAGGCATGGAACTGCATAGTTATTTTATTTTGTAATCTCATGAATCTCGTTGTCTTTTCTTGAAAACATGGACGAAACATTGGAAGCAATTTTATCGTTTTATTCATTCATTTCAATTTTGTTGCAGTCGTAATTATTTATGTAGTTTTTAGCGTTCTGTTTACAAATTAAATGTAGACTAGGTACTCTTTTAATCGCTCCTTCGACTTTTGAATGCAGCACAAAGAGAGAAACGGGCGACAGTCTGCATAGTAACGTTTTGCAGGAACCGAGTGTTGTTCTAGTCAGTCATTTAAAAATTAATATATCCCTTTTGTCACGTTTTACAGTAAATCATTGCTTCCGTTATTCCAGATAGTAAAACTAATAACTGTTCTAATTAGTAAAAACTGCTTTCTTGGTGAGTTTGCATATTTTAAAGAATACAACCCAATACTGCATTTACCCTCTGAATACCTACAAAATGTTCAACGAATAAAAATGGCTTAACGAGACTATATATATTTCATGTCAGATCATAATTTATTTTCTACACAATTTTAACCCGAACAATGAAGAAGTTGCTTCTAGCTGTTGCTGCTTTGGACAATGCGACAGCAATATAGTGAATACCGAGGTTGACGGTTGAACAGTGATATTTTCAACTAATAATTCATTTACGCCAAATTGAGCTCAGGTTAGTTTGACATCTAGTGGTAGGCCTAAGTTTTATCTACACATCTACAGCTGAATTGTAGTGGACACAAGCAGGGGGCATCCCAAATGATTCCAGAAGTGCGGTAGAAATTCCTTTTCCAATCTTAAAATTGGAAATGGCCTGTTGCAATTGAGGCAACAGTAAACAGTAACATTCTGCTACATCTCCTATACGTTTCACTCATTCATCTTTTTAAGAGTTCGAACAGATATGACGATTAATAATCTTGTTAGCACACGATCGAAATGCTACTAAGTTCATCAAAATATCAAACATTGTGCAAGTTGCAAGGAAAAGTATAATAGTTAGTATACCAGGTCTAGTTGTAGAGAGAGGGCCTAGCTGCATCGGTGATTATATCGGGATAAATCCACAAAAATCAATATTTTTGCTATCTACAAATCTAAATTTAAATTTGTTATTTCTTTAACACAATAGTTTCCTCTGGAGCTTTTTAAAAAAATTGTACATTGTACATTTAAAAAAGTTAAACAGCAGATTTAAACATGTCGCATGTTTAAATCTGCTCTCTCATTTTGAAACAATTAATTGTTTATTTTCCAGAATGTCTTTCCTGGCTGAAAAAGAAGCAAGTCCCGTACACTGTATTGATGTATGTTTTGACTCCCTTCAAACAAATTTTTACTGGACAACCAAGTATGACTTCCAATGTTATTCTTATAGAACAGTTTAACTTACTACATAATTTGTGTTGTCAAGATAAAAATTCCAATGCTTCCCTACAATCACTTAATATTTTTTTGTTATATGTACCATTTGGTCAATCCATATCAAGTGATCCAATAAAAGATAATTTGGTTGCTTGACCATTTTTAACATTTTCTAGTATTTTATTTATTGTTCCCTCATGTTTTGGAAGCTCAAAAATGGTTTTATTTAATTTTTATCCCTTCCCATTTTTTTGTAGCGGCCATTTTTGTCTTGCAGCACACGGCGATTTTTGAGTTTGCAGACGTTAAACGTAAACGAACATATCTTTTTAACTACTCATGTTACAAAAATGTACTTCGTTCAACATGTTCCCATCTTTAATTTTGATTACGATCATAATCAGCCTAATTTTTACCCATATGGGTGAAAAAAATGTTTAAAAACGAGCAACGCAAACAAATAAATTTCACTTTTTGAAGCCATTTTTCTCATGAAGGATTTGTAAATCATTGTTAATATTTTTTAGACAATTACATATACTAGTGTACTCTATGTAGCTAGAGTTATTACACTGATATATGTGTCCTTTAATTTTGGCAATCTATATCTATAAAAGAGGAACTATGTATGTATGTATGTGTGTGTGTATATACGTTATGGACTCTGAAACCGCTCGACAGATTGTAATGAAACTTATTAAGCATCTTTCAAAGATGGTTCGAGTGAAGTTTGGTGCAGATCCGTCAAAAGGGCTCTGCCCCAGAGGGTTTTAAGTGGGCCAATGTCAGACTTTTTGATCTACAATGTTTACAAATAAATATAATTTTTAAAGCAGATGTTTACTTTCACCAACTGTTTTGTAGGTTTGAATAATCACAACATTCTGTATTAGCATTAGTCATGATTTGAAATAGTGCCACAGTGTTTCTACAGATTGCAGCACAGAACACTATTTTACTTTTGAATAAGTCTAAATGTATTAAACCCCAATCGCAGCACACCTGTGCACTTAACAACGTTTAAATTCTCCAATGTTAAATATTAAAACATAAAAACCTTTATCAAAGTTCTGTATTATAAACAATAAAAGGGATGACTTTTTTAAATTTATGACAACAGCTAATTTGCAACCAAAAGGTGAGTGAGCGTAGCGAACGAACATCAACCTGGAGGCGAGTAAGCGTAGCGAACGAGCTAACCTGAAAACAAGTGAGCGCAGTGAACGATTTCCAACCTGAAGGTGAGTGAGCGTAGCGAACGAACTTCAACCAGGACGTGATTGAGCCATGCGAATACTTATGAAGTTAAGCGGGGCAAAGCCCGCGGGTATAGCTAGTATTTTTATAAAAAGAGATTTTTCAATTTTCACAAATTTTGGAGTTTAATATCTCTGATGGGACATGGGATAAAAATTTGATTTTTCACAGGATGTTCTTCTGTATAAGAGGAAACTACAGTAAAAGTTTTCATCATTGGTATTTTACCGTGGTAAAAGTTATGAATTTTTTCTAAAAAGAAACTGCATAGTGTTTAATGTAGTGGCGACTTGTCCACTGGTTAATGACTGGCCTGCTTCAAAGGGAGTTAGGATTTAAGCCCATATCTAGATGATCTAATATTTTTATCACAACACCTCTAGTCCGTCTTAATAAATGTATGTTTTGTATTTCACCTACCTTAAAAATCATTTTTAAATTAAACCGCTCAATTTCAGGTCAAAACCTAGGTATACATTTAATAATAATTTTCTCAAACTTGTTCGGAACTTAGCATGATGTTCACACACCCACAAATGAAACATATTCAACAAAATATACAAAACATCTGTAAATCGCTAAGGGATTAAGTTATATTTGGTCAATGGTGTATCGTTGTATACATAGCATAGATGGCTTAAGTCAAACTGAACTCAGGTACTTTTTGTATATGTTTACCTAACAACTAAACACTAAACGATTATGTTGGGTGAGCAATATATTTTTAGAATGAACAAACAGAAGTTGAACTAAATAAGTATACTGTGATAGCCTTGATGTTAACTGTGTAGTGTGTAGGCCTATTCTCAATCAATATGGTAATGGAAAATAGCACAGTAATAATATATCCCCCAAAAAGTTTGACTAAGTTAGGCAAAAGATGAAGTACAGTAAAGGTTGATACTTGGTTTGTTTTACTACTCTTTGTTTGAATTTCACATTCCCACTTTGAAGTAGATATTTGAATACAGTAGTTAAATAAATATTTATTGTTAAACAGATTTGTTCTCAACATTATCATACTTTACACTCTGTCCAAATTCATCTGTTGTTTTATCCATTTGATTTTTATCACTAATAACTTTGTTCGTTTTATTTTTTCTAACACCATTTTTGTCCTTCTTTTTCTTCCCATCCACTTTTTTGTTCAACTTGGATTTCTCTTGGCCCACAGCCCAATCATCATCGTCATCATCACTTATTCCACCATAAGCGTTTTCTTTACAGTTGTTGGCGATACGACGACTGGCGATTCTCGAACTGTTGCGGCCCATCCCCAGACACTTCTCTAGATGGGGAGCAAACCTCGACGCAGATAATTGTCGGTTACAACTGGGACAACAGCACTCCTGCGCCTTTTTTATATAAGGTTGTCCAAATATATCGGTTTCAATGTTTTCGACTATTCTAAATTTGTTTATGTCCTCTTCAGTCATCTTAGGTACACCACCCAATTTTGTTTCACGATGTATTTCAAATGTAATTCCCAAAACTATGTCTTCTACCAACTCATCAAAAATATGATTTGCTGCTGCTTCCAAGTTTCCTGGAATCGATAGAAACTGTTTCATACGAAGTTTAATCTCCTCAATTGAAGTACATGGGTTCTCTTGTCTGTCAATAGCTGCCATTGCTGAAATAGAAGAATGGTTTCAGTCATAAACAATCCAATTTTGATTCAATTTGGAATAAACGTGTAAACCATTTATAATAATGAGTTCACGAACCAGCATGATCAAAAACTTCATTTCATCAACCACTAAGTCTATCGCTAGTAAACGGAAGTTGTGAAGGAGTGGAGGAATTTTGGAGGTGGTTTTAAACATTTGCACGTTGTTTTGCATAGTTTAAATCAAATTGCAGTGGGGCTGAACATGAGATTGCTGAGGTTAGTGGACTTCTCTAGAAGACTATCAAGGACAACAAAACTCTTTTATTCGTAAACAGGCCAATCAGCAAGAATCCATTTTCTCAACTTTTCACTGTATCAATGGAAAGCTACAAACTCCCACTGCCGGAATCGTGCTGATGTGTACGACCTTCTGTAAACTTCCTATCCCAATCTTGCACATTTTCTCATTCTAAAGATTTTTCTACATAGGTATAGGCTACAGATCTTTTAACTGGTGATGTATTTTAATAGAGGTTGACACCTTTTCTACAGAAACCTAATCAGAAAAGATTCAATACCATACTAGACAGAAGCATCAATTTTCTTTCACAGTGTTTTGTGTACTGTGAAAGTTTACTGTATGTGAAGGCCCAACTAAAATAATTGCACTAAAATAAAGCTCTGCAAGCATTTTGTTACTTATCATTAAATGTGTGTGTGTGTTTACGCTGTATCATTATATCGTACCATTAAATCATACAAATGTATCTATTCAAGCCAAATGAAGAAAATGTATCAATTACTAAATAAAAAAAAAACTGCTGAAGATATAACAGTGTGTCATCCCATCTGTAAACACTTATCCGAGCCTAAGGAGTCAAATACACGACTGTGATTATCATATTCGGAGGGGTTCTAACTACTGTATAGGCTACCTAAGTATTCTTTTGTGCGAACTGCAAAACATTAACATTCAGTACCCAACATACTGTATACAGTATGTCGAACAGATGTAAATAACAAACAATAACAATGGCTACCACTGAACTGACTGGATGACCGTATTTTTTCTTCATAGCCTATCCATTATTTTGGTGGGGGGCCCTTATATTCGCCCCTGCTACAAATACATAAATCTCAATAAGAAAACTTGTAACTAGATCTACCTTTAGTAATTTTTGCTTGGCCTTCAAAATTATTTGAAATAGCCTAAGTTTATCATGAGAAAACACTTAGGCCTAAGTTACATAAATTAATAAATGATGTGAAAATAATAACACCTAGTGTTTAATGTATGATTAAAATGCTTAAATGTTTATTTTATACAATATAAATTGTTTTTTTAGTGCTTTGGAAGAGCGAAGTAATTAACGTATATTGGTGAGTCTGTGGCTCAGTTGGTAGCGTCACGGACTTCGGGCCCAAGGCAGCGATGTTGAGGGTTCGGATCCTGGTCACTGCCATTAAAATTTATCTGTATAGTTCACCTTCGTACTGTACCGGCTCACCCCTTGCTTTGCTGAATACGTTCCAAGCGCAGATCTGTAGTCTATGTGGACGGGCAAATGCAAGGTTAAAAGAGGTTGCTAACCTCTTTAAAAAAAATGAAACAGGCAATCGAGGGCCTAAGTCTAATACCACGTATCTTCAAAATATAGGGTTTTGAGATCTATAGTAAAAAAACTAGATTTCATTGTCCCTCACCTAATTCTAAAACCTCGTAAGTCTATAAAAATTGGAAATAATTAAAAAAAAAATGGGAAATGTAGACCTCGTATCTTGCAGTATTGGTAAACCTTCCTTCTAGCAACACGTATCTTGTATTGTTTACAGTGTGCAAAAGGTGGTCAGCTGTGCCGGTCTGTTAATTGTTATGCAGTTTCATAGTGAAAAAGTGAATTTCAGTGTTCAAAATGTAGTAAATATAAGATAGAATTAACTCAGTTTTGTATATGCAATTAGTTTATTTGTGGCTTTATTACAATTTATGTAATACGTTGTCATAAATCAGTGTTAAGATACGAGGTCTTAGAAGGAGGAATATTCTTATTGTAAAAATACGTTATAACTTGTTATAAAAATTATTGTATTAACTTTTTTGCTAAGGAATAATTTAATACTCTAATTTTTTCTGCAATACAATAAAATGTAGTTATAACAATAAAGTTGTTATAATAAAAATGCTTAGTGTTTATTTAGCAATACCTCGTATTTTACAAATTGGTAAATTCTAATAACTCGTATACCCAATTTCAATACCACGTAAGTTAACCCTCCAACTGGCACATTTAAAAAAAGTTTAATACAATACCTCGTATCTTACTTTTTTTATATAATAACTCTTTTTAAATAATAAATAAACATAAGAAGTTGTTTGTTTTATCAAATTTAATAACTACATGTACATTCCTATAAAGTAATGAGCTGTTTCTCGTAAAACCATAATAATTACAACGTTTTTTTGCTCTCCTGTAAAGTAGGCATTTTCCTCATACGTGGTATTAGACTTAGGCCCTCGCAATGTGGAAGTAAGTTAAGGATCAAGGATCTGCTGTTGACAATGATGGTGACTGATCAACTCAAAATACTATTTTACACATTAAATCATGTTTGAAATCATTAACTTAGCCTTATTTTTTTAACATATTACTTTGAAGATAGACCTAACTTGTCAGTTTCCCATTAACTTAGTTTTACAGTAGGCTAACCTATTTTAATAGGCCTACTGTAACCTAACTTTAGTAGCCTAGCTGCTACATTTTAGAGAAAAACTAAGTTAAGTTAAGTTACCGTACTTCTTTATTATGAGAGGTCTACTGCATATTTTCTTTTAATACTGATAAAGTAGACCTGTCATTTGATTCGAAACTGAGACCGATACCACTAATATTGAAATTATTGATAATTGATATAATTGATTTACTTGCTTTGCTAGTAAATTAAGCTAAGTTAAACATTTTATAATAATTAAGTTATTACCGGTAGGCCTACCTACTTATATTATTTATACATGCTAACAGCCATTAGGCCTACATAGAATGAGAAAGGGTACGTACGACTAACAAGTATCATACGTTGTTTAAGTATCGTATACCATACGGTATCTAATAATTCAGTTGATCAAATCATTACTTCACTTAGGTCATCACTGATAGGCCTATTTATTCATTTGGTTGGGTTGGGGTAAGGTTAGGATAATTACCAAAAACGTAGTTTGCAAAATGGGCAGAACAAACCCGTCCCAGGAGGGGGTACCAGATCGAGGGAGCTGTTTGCTAGGTCTTATCATGCTACGCTCTACGAACAGCACAGTGCCATCGCTCGCATACAAGCCATGGGAAACTCTCTGCCACCTGAAATTGATTTCTTCAACTGTAACACCACATGTTTCAGGAGATTGAACAGCTCGCTTCCACTTGATTAGAGAAGATGACCTATCTCATTAATTTAATCTCTCACTAATTTGTTAAATGCTTTTTATGTTTTGTTGTTCTCGTTGCTCTTTATTGTTATCTTAGTATTTATTGTTACATCATTGTTATTGTTTTTGTTATTTCGTTGTTGTTGTTATTATTATTATTGTTATCGTTATTACTATATGCACTTTTGTTGTTATTTATACATGTTTGTTAGTCATCACTCATCAATTTAATTCAATAGTTGTAACACAAATTGTATCCTGTATGAAATGGTTTGTCCGTCAAATAAATGAAATAAATGGGAAAATCTACATTTAAATTTATGAAGGATTGAGGTTAGGTCAATGAAACACAGTCTCAACTAACTGGAAAAAGGCTGTGGGTCTTGCCTACTTAACCCCACAATTAATTGTGTAATTAAATAACTTACCTACAACATGGCGTGTAGTATAATAGTGTATACTAGGCCTATGTTATTTACTTAAATTATTTACCTTATAGTATATTGATGTCAACTTGCTGCAAGAACTTGAGCGATAGAATGGAACCCCTAACCTAAAAATTGAGAGGTAGGCTAACCAATACACTGACTTGACTGGCTCAATTTTGTTTAAAAAATATATTAAGTTATTGAATTAAAACTCAAACACATCCAGTCCAGCTACAGCCTAGTTCTAATTTCGAGATCTTGCTTCACCTCATCATTTTCTATTTCCAACAATCAATTCCCTGATTTCAGTTCAAAACTTCGAAATGACAGCGGAGTTGACGATGACGATGACACTAGTACTGAATCTGAATCGGAATCCTGTCAGCACTCCTGAATGACCTGAATCACTGAATTGAATAGTGAATGGTGCCAATGGTGGGCGAGAGAGATCAGAGAGCGGACAGCGGAGTATGTTTTATGGTGAGAGTCACAAGCACTCAAAGAGTTGGTGGACTTCCGGACTTGGACGTTGACTTACTTGGCCGAATTGGGTTGGGTTGACGCATCGATGGGTTGACGACGTTGACAGCAGCGTTGACTTGACATACTACAACACAACTACACTGTTTCCTCTGTTGACATATTGGACTTGGACTGGACATCCAGGATCCAGATGATACCTCAGTTATAGAATGGTTTTAGTGAATTTCCCTATTAGCAAGTCAAGTATGTTTATACTTACTATACTTATACCATAGATAAAACATCTGTGTTGGTTAGTCTATGCTTATACTTAGTGGAGGTGTCACGGAAAGGCCCGGAAAGCAAACTCCATAAGAATAATATGGGAATTTTGAATTAAATTCTTTTCAATTTTCTCCGTAACTAATAACGTACAATATTTTGTTTTATTATACTCTGCAAAATAGTTTAAAGATACATTGGAAGATTTTATGTTTTGAGGGCCAAAAATGAATGAAACCTATTTTCACCCCCCACCCCTTAAAACCCCGTTCCTATACGGTCCGATCAAGCTGATTCGCAAACTCGTTCAAATAAATGTAGGTTTACACAATTTCATAAAAATCTAAGTTATTTTTGCTTGAGTTATTGTGCTAACAGACACACACACATATATATATATATATATATATATATATATATATATTTGAACAGAGTGTTTTTGGCCTCTAGGGCAGTGACGTAGCCAGGGGGGGGAGTCCTGACCCCCCTTCCAGTCTTAAGTATAATATTTTTTTTGTTAAATTAAATGTAAAATTATATAATTAAACTGTATTGACATTGGGGTTGATTATTATCAATGCCAAGAGAGCTAAAAAAGACTGTTAGATGGTCGGTCAAAAACCTCCCTATTTTGAAATCCTGGATACGTCACCCCCTGTTTAAATAAAACTAGTTTAACGAGTACTTAGGTTTCCTTATACAGGGAAGGTAATTAAGTGTTTTTTATTGTTAGAATAGTATGAAATACCAAATTTAATCAAAAAATGTTTATAAACAAGTAAACTACCTACAACAGGTTGCTTCATTTCCATAAGAATAATATGGGAATTTTAAATTAAGTTTTTTTGAATTTTTTCCTTAACATCCTATGACAACACTTTAATATTAATATACAGTTGAACCTCTATAAGACGAATTTCAAGGGGTACGGGAAAAATTTGTACTATAGAGGTATTCTTAATAAAGAGGGTCGTTTTATCGAGGTTTAATGCTGCTGTTATTCTTCTTATAGAGGGTTTTCCTCACTCCAAGGTTTTTCCAAACAATGACTGAGGAAAGAGGAGAGATGGGTGGGGGTTTCATGTTAAGACAAGTTTCTGTTTGTTTTGAAAACTACGTACTATGGAGGTTAAGATTATGATAAATTCGTCTTATAGAGGTCATGTTTGTCTTGTAGAGGTTTTGTGCTAAGAATATTCGTTATATAGCGGTAAATCAGTCCTAGTCCATGTCACAAACAAATTCGTCTTATGGAGGTTTTTAACTTAATTACTACGTTGTATAGAGGTGTTTTTAGCATTGACCTATACGAAAGTGTCAAGGGGATTAAAAAAATTTGTCTTATCGAGGAATTCGTTTTATCGAGGTTCGTACAAACGAGGTTCAACTGTACTAGATAATTTTTTAAAGTCTACAAAATGGTTTAGAAATAAATTGCAAAATATAAACCCCCTTGTTCCCAAAGTCCGAGATTATGCTGGTTCGTGAACTCATTCAAATAATGTGGGTTTACACGTTTGCACCAAATTTAATCAAAATCGGATCATTTTTGCTCGAGTTATCGTGCTAACGGACACATATAAATAATATATACACATGAATTTGAATGAATTGTGTTTTTGGCCTCTAGGTACCTCAAAACAAAGTAAATCGGTCCCATATAAAGGTCTTACCATGAGACCTACGGTAATAGCTTATTCGCTATTTGGGAAATTCGCTTATATAAAAAAAAATACTATGGCGGATATCTCGCTAACAAAGCATTTTTGGAAAAAATGTCATTTGTGATTTCTGTGTTTTTTGCCATTTAACTGGTTCTCAACTTGTTTGTACTTCCTCACGGGACGAGGACACATTATTTGTTTAAGCTGAAATGAATTCCTTCCCACCACATATACCTTTCATACTGCTACATATGAGTATTCTGGGTGTTAAATAACTTTTCAAAATTACAGTATTTTACGTTTTTAATATAAGTTTGTATAAAACAATCACATGTTTACATTGTTGACAGAAGTTTAATGTAATAGAAGAGAAATATCATTCCATAGAACAGACTACACATAAAATCACATACACAAAATTCGTTCGTTGTTAACATTTAACTTGTTCATTAGGCTCATCTGCTACGTTATTTGTTAAATATAGACCATCATTTGTTTATTATTAGTTTCCTAACACAGCAGTGTTATTTAATTGCCACAGTTTTAATATGTGCCAGTAAATAAATACAATATGTAATACTTCTAATATACAGTTCTAACATTTAAAGTTACAATATTAGTATTATGTTTCAGTTTCAATATTATGGCTTGTTCATACACTCTAAGTTACAAAAATATAAAAAAGGCGTTATTTAAAAAAAGAAACGTTTGGTTAATACATATGAGGAGAAATAGAATACAAGAAGCCTTAGGTACTAACATGCAAAATATTATGTTTAATGACAGAGAGCATAAGAGTAGGAAACTTTGTCAGATCTGTTACATACATGCTAAGTTAAATACTTGAAAGACCTGTACATCATTAAAATTGGACTTAAAATTAAAATTTATATTTGTAGTGTTATTTGTGATCAGAAATATGTACCTTTATAATCTGCTTACAACAAATTCACTTTATATACAGATCTGTTTAACAGTTTATAATTAAAATTGAACCTTGAATGGTGGGTTCAGGATTACAGGGGGGGGGGGGGAGTGCCCTCCTACTAACCGGTAAAATGTAAAGCCTAAAACGTATTTTTATGTTACATTGTTTAAAACCAACACATAAGACAGGGTGATCAAAAAAAGGTACTCATCCAAACTGCTGTTTTTTAACTTAACTTCTGTTTTAATGGATATCACTCCACAACAATGTTCAGGAATGGTTGAAAACATGCTAAGACGAATGTAATATGTAATAAACATTAAACAAACACTGGTGGAAAACATGTAGAGCATGTAGTTTTAAGACAGAGTAAGTTTGTAGAGCTATTAAATAATAATTAATTACTGTGAAATGATGAGTGCTTTTTTTGGGCCACCCTATATATAATCACATCCCATTATATTATTCATGGGGTACACCATGGTATTTCAGGGGAAGAAACCATCCCCCCTTTAGGGGTGAACCTTCATAGACCGTTTCTAACATCAAACATTTGCTCGTATTTGACTTTCATCATACACAATAACATTTGGTTAAAATATTGAACTAACATTATACTTATATTTTATCAGATCCATTAAATTCAATATATCACGGAAATTCTTTATTTTGTAAATAAAACTTATTCATTATATAAAGTACATGGGCATAGGACATTATACATACCTATATCATATTTTTATCAGATCTACTGAATTCAATCTATTGAGTAAATACTTAATTCTGTAAATAAATCTTATTCATTATGTATATATTTGATATAGATCACAATGAGGTAGTAATATGTGTCGGTTTCAATTGCGTGCTGAGACTCCCCAAGCCCTCAGTAAGGCGAGGGATTTGTTGACGTGTTGGCACCATTGAATACGATCTTCCTTTGTGTCAGCTGACAGCAAGTGTCTAGAAAAGTTTTATCTTATTAAATAGTGCTTGCTGCTTAAGACACATTTTTCCACCACACCTACGTTTTCACAAACTGTGTTTCACAAAAATATATCGTATGCGAGCGCGCGAGCATTTCCCGACATATTGGAAAGTACCAAAATAACAAAATGTCATTTGTGCTACCATTCCACTACTACCATGCAAGTAAATTTATGGTTGACACTTATTCGAGGAGGAATGCGAGCTGTACTTGTATGCGAATTCAAATTAATGTAAACGCGCATTTAAAATAATTCCTATGCTCAGGATACTGAAAAAAGTAGATAGCATGAACATGTTCGATAACGTAACTATATTTTAAAATTTCATAGAACATAATAGAAACAGTTCTTACCTTTTTTTGTCAGACCACAGGTCTATTTTAGAGAAGTCTACCCTTATGTATTCTAAGTACAGTAGACTCCCTCTTATCAGCACATCGGTTTAACCAGACTAGATTGGCAGGAAGTGGGCCGTACTGAAACGACTGTTCTTGTGGGAAAGATTTGATACCAGTGATCACGTGTCTAAATACAATGCTCTCCTAAATTTAAGTCAAATACTGTATACAGTATGCATTTAAACGGTCCTTTTTAACAAGTTTTTGGGAACGTCGGTTTTACAAAAAAAAACCGTTATCCGGACTGGCCTCGGTCCAAAGGAGTCCGGATAAGAGGGAGTCTACTGTACATAACATCCAAAATGTATCTAGAAGCTTGAACCAGAATTAAAAAACACTTGATCACTAATTGTTTCATAAATTAAACTCTTGAGCTTTTCATATTTACATAGTGTATTCGTAGACCTAATGATTACAAGATTTCTTAATTTGGGGAAACTAATTTCACGTAGTTGACGTAATTAAAACGTCTCTAAACTGCTCTTTTATGACGAAATAGGCAAACTGATCTTTTATGACGAAATAGGCTATCTTTTCTCCATTTGTATCCAAAAATCAACCGGCTGACTAGTTTTGCTGCAAACACAACATTGTCAAAGTGTGCAACACGTCAAAACATCAGAATAAATAATGCCAGTATGACAGACTATGTTTGTCCAGGTATTGTATAATGTTTTATGTACTTATTTATTTGGATGTTTTAACTTGTTGCAAGCTTCCTGTTGATAAAAATGTTGGAAAAATGTTGGGGATAGAGGTAAGATAACCTTTCTAGTTTTTCCTGAACTGCTGATGAGTGATGATAATAATATTTTAACCTGGACTATTGATTTAATTTATTTATCTACCTAATACAAATTTTCAAATCAGGTCAAATGTTGAATGTACAGTATTGCTTTTCTAAATTGTCTTCATTAAGTGTTATAGTACATTACCGCAATATCACTGGACACTTCCTTTTAAACACTCTTGTCCCTAATCAGCTCACCTGATAGTGGTTGTGTTCTGGTGTCTGATCATGACCAGAGAGTCGCTGTCGGTGTCTCGCGCAGGACGTGAGGTCTCCAGCAGGAACGTGTTGGGACGAGCACATACATCTCTCGGCACGACGTCAACCTCTCGTGTCACACACATTGTTAACTCTATGGTGTCTAGCGGAATCTGGGGACACAAAAAATTCTCATTAGTGCCTACAGTTGAACAATGCAAAGTAGAAAAAGAAGAACTACAATGTTGCTGTTTAATTGTAGGTGTATTTTTCTTACCATGATCAAATTATCAACAATTCTTCACGACACTAGGCTGCACAAATAAAAAAAATTTATGTAATATCAATATCACACTAAAAGGTATCCTCATAAAATAAAACGAAGAACATTCTTACAAACCTTGTTAAATATATCTTTTTTTGTAGAGGCTTGAATTTCGAGTTGAAACAAGCCTAGCCTACAAGCTTGAGTGATTGAAAGCCATAGAAGAAAATCAAGCTCGAGCTCACCTTTTAGGACTTGGGTTGGATTCGCAAAGATTGCGTGATTTATAAATTCAAGCTTTAGTTATGATTACAGCTAGGCCTATGACAAAAGTTGTGACAAAATAAAGTTTCTGTGATCATGGGAGACGATGATGATGATGACTGCAAGGGATGTTCAATATTTTGCCACAATTATAAAAGACCCATACAATGTCTACAAAACTCCAAGAAATTTTCTGGATTTTTTTGTGATCGTGGATGACAATGATGTTTTCAGTTAATGTGGGAGACGATAATAATGCCCACACAACTGCGGGAGATGACCAGGATTTAGTCCCTATTGGAATTGACGATGATGATGCCCGTTGATTTTGTCGCAATCATGGACAAAAATAAATTTTGATGTCTACATCACTGCTGCAGACGGTCAGGATTTTGCCGAGATCGCAGAAGGCAATGATGACGTTTCCACTTTCCATGACTGCAGGAGATAAAATGGAGTTTTTCTGTGATTGTGGAAGAAAGTGGTGATGACCATGGGAAATGATATTACCAAGATAACATTGAGAAATTGTTATAAATGCACAGTACACCGAATTTATGGTTACTAAATTTAATACTTTGTCTCTAAATACATCATAACATTAAGATTAAACTGCATTTTGAAAAAAAAAATGTCCAATTAATTTATTATATGGCATTACATCAAATTCGTTATATAAAAAAGCTCGGCTTGAAAACAGCTTAAGGCGCCAGCATTTTTCTAAGTTTGGCTTAATCGCCTTTATCTCAGGCTCGCAGATCTCTAAACTTTATGATACCGGTACCACTAAAAACAAAAACCTAAATTTTACCTACAAAAGTTCAAAATATCAATATTACATGCAAGCATTGCCAAGAAACACACGTGTATTATTTAAGTTTTACAATGTCCAGACCTATGTCAAACTCTTTGAAGCGACACAATATAAATACATAATATTGGAAGTTAAACTGACAGTAAAATTTTATGAGTAAAAAACCAATATTATTTTGAACTCCTAATTGATAGTTTCTAACTGAGTACATACCTTCTTGCGTTCATCATCCGGGTATTTCCAATATGAGAGTTTGTCCCCTTTGAGCAGACACCAGCGTCTGTGCCAAGCCCCGAAGCCAGACACGTCCTCAAACATAGTCAGGAACCCTCGGTGCTCCACGTCCACTCTCATCTCTGTGTCAATCTTCACCTGCATCGAGCCTTCCACCACACTGGTGTAGTTGTTCTGCAACCACAAACATTTGCATCAACCAACACTTGCAATTTGAATACAAAGGGAAACAGTAAATTAAACAACACGGTAGATTTTTCAAGATTGGCCAATATATAGCTTATAAACAAAAATTTGAATAATCCATATTGTGCACAATTTGAATTTTAAAAACAATTTCACTCTTCCACTTTTTTCTACTTTAAGGATTTGTAGGATTTTTTACATAAAGCAAAATAAACAAAAATTTTTGTACATGTAATTGTTTGTAGATGTAATTGTTGTACATGTAATTGTTTTTTTAAATCTGTATGGATTTAGTCTGTTCTCTAAAAATCAGCACATTCGGATGGGGAAAAGTACCGGTACCAACATCATGAAAATGGCCAAGTCGAGTCAAGCTTTTACTATCGCTTTTGCGACCCCATGTGCCTGTGAAGATTTTGCGATTGAAAAGTTAACGCTTTTGCCGTGATTTTGGAGGACCATGATGATGTTTCTGTGACTGCGGAAGATGATGATGTTTACACAACCGTGGGAGACGATGATATCTACTCGATCTAGACATTTTCAGGATTCTGCTGCAATCAAGGCCTCTGCTTACGTTAATAAGGGTTCTTATTATTACCGTAGTTTAAGAGTTATAACATTCTCTCCTTAAGGTATTCAGATAGTTGGAGTTTGGATGATTGAAATTTAACCCTAACACCATTAGACATATTATGAGTTATCTTACTTTGTTTAGAATTTTTTGGGAGGAACTGAAATGAAATGAAATTAAATGATATTTATTCGTCTATAGACATTATAAATGCATGAGACACAGTTAAGTCAAATTAAGTTATATAAATACATGCTGGTAGAGGCACAAGTCAAGTTCAAGCAACTAATAGTAATAATAAAGAATTATTACAAATCATGCAAATAAATAATCATACAAAAGCAGATAAGCATAGACAGGCTGAAAATACATGCAAGGCTGGTATTAAATAATCATTTGGGGTTATGTCATTGGTTGTAAAGCAAAAAACTCATCAATCTTATACAGGGGGTTTCTGACAAGCCATTCATAAATTGCATTCTTAAAACTATTGTAAGGGAGTTGAATTATTCTTGGCGATAGTTTGTTCCACAACTTTCTACCCATAATAATATGGCTTCTTTTAATCTTTTCCAGTCTTGTAAAAGGAATGTCAAGGTTTTCTCTTTTCCTAGTGTCAAAGCAATGAAAATCACCCCTTAGAGCAAAGGTTTCATGCAACTTAAAACTAGATAACAATACATTATAAATATAAAGGTTTATCACAGTCAAAGCATTAAAGTTGATAAATAATGGTTTACAATGTTCATTTTGATCTTTGTTAAATATAGTTCTAATAATCTCTTTTTGGGCAACAAGAATATCATTGATGTGGTAACTATTTCCCCAAAGGATTATCCCGTAGCTTAGAATTGACTGGACAAGTGCAAAGTAAACATTTTTGAGATGATTTAGAGGCAGAAGGTTCCTTAATTTTCTAAATAAAAAAGTAAGCCTACTTAGTCTTGTGCATATATGTTGTACCTGGGAGTTCCAAGTTAGTTGGAGATCAACAATTACTCCAAGAATCTTAACATTTGAATTGTTTTTTATAGTTTCCTCCATTTGAGGTATAGGCCGCAAGCTAAATAGCATAGACTGTGTTTTGTCCTCGTTGACAAGGAATTTATTTGCTGCAAACCATTCAGAGGTCAAACTTAGGCTACTTTCCACTGCAGCTACAAGCTGCGTTACATCTGCACCCTTACTTAGAATGGTGGTATCGTCTGCATACAAATATGCTTCACAGTTGAGGCTGAAGGGCAGGTCATTGATGGCAATGAGGAACAGGAGAGGACCTAATACTGAGCCCTGAGGTACTCCACAGTTAGTGGATAGGACAGAGGACCAGGTATTGCCTATGCAAACTGCCTGTCTTCGATCAGCAAGGTATGTCCTGAATAGGCTGAGGCTCGCACCACGGATACCATAATACTCCAGCTTTTGGAGGAGGATGCCATGGTCAACACAATCAAAGGCCTTGCTTAGGTCAATAAAAGTGGCCCAAGCAGCCTCTCGACTTTCAAAACAATTGAAGACTGTGCGGACCATGGCATCGATGGCCCCCGTAGTAGAGCGTCCAGCCCTGAAACCAAATTGTTGTTCGTTGAACAGAGCATGATACTCAAAAAATTTCTCACCCTGGTTATAAATCACATGTTCGACTACCTTAGCCAAGGTCGGTACCAGACTGATAGGCCGATAGCTCTGAGGACTAGCTTTATCCCCCTTATTGAAAATCGGACAGATCTTTGACAATTTTAAATGACAATTTTCTGATTTGATCTGATTTGATTTGATAGGACACCTAAAATATTCAGTATTATGCTATGTGACTTTCTACTGTATATCTATGGGCAACTGGATTCTACATCAGGGTGTCTACCAGTTGATCAAACTTAATTTCAGTGACTTTGGGTGTGGGGGGAACAACAACACAAACAACAATAACACACAACCTTTGGTACTTATAAAATAATAATTTTCAGTATCTTGAACACGAAAGAGTCAGGCATTCAATATTTTGTGCCATAACAATTTGAGCTGATTGTCTCCTCCCAAAATATATACACTCTTATGGATTCTACATTTTGAATTTAATCATTGCCTGCAGCAAGGTGCAAACCAAAGACATGTCTGGGGAACTTTATTTTAGTTTTCCCTGACTTTTGGGACCTAAAATGAAAATTTGTTACTTTTCAGTGACTTCCATGACCCTGTAATCAGTGACTTTTCCGTGACCTTAGTGACTGGTAAACACCCTGTACATTCTCTGTAAGCTAGCTGAACCCCGTCTTTACCTTGTTGAGTGTAAACTGTTTGCGGTTGATCTCGCGCAGTGAGAAGATGACGTAGCCGGCCAATGAGAAGGCAGATGTCCTGACTGCTGACGGACCCCCTGGTGACTGTACAGGAGGAGCTACCAGGCGAGACTCTCCCTTCATCTTGCGAGGGGTTAACTTCAGCTTGCTGGCGTCCTGTGAACAATACACAACTCTAAAATACTGATAATGTATTTGTAAAACTTTGATAAAAAAAGATCTACAAGAGAAAGGAGAGTAGTAAACTCCCTATTCATTAAATCCATGGAGTAGTAAACATTCTCCTGTCTATGACTCATACTGTTCTTAGCCTGTTAGCTAAGAACAGCATGAGTTCCATGAGCATGAGGAAAGCATTCTTAGTTAGACGGGGAAGTTCCACTTAAGGCCACTCGAGTTAATTTGAGCTTGAGCCGCAAGTACCCTAAGTCCGGTACTGACCTTGTGCTTTACATTACCTTCTTGCTGGTGTTGATATGGTACTTGACGTCATGAGGGATGTGCTCCTTGCTCCTAGCAGTCATCCCGTACACCTCTATGATGACCTTGAAGTCAGAGTAGACGTTGTCTAGAGAGAATGTGTTGGGGAAGGTAAGTTGGTTGTGGTGGTGTAGGTGACGAGGAGCACACATCACATCCGTACTGTACACTTCCTCGTTGTGGTGCACCAGGCATAGTAGGTAGTAACACTGGTCATCTGGAATCATAGATAAACTCAGTTACAGTGTAGTGTTTGGTTTGTAATGATTAACAATGATTTAACAAGTGATTTGTCAAACCTTAATCTAAAGTCCAACAAATTGCAAAGATAAATTCAAATTTGAGACTCAATAAACTCTAGGCATCCATACATCTTGTTCAAGGCAGTAAACAAACTGAAATCTGGATAATGAATAGATATGTCAAGAGTCCTGAATAGTAGACATTTGTGTGTGATTCTAATCATTTTAGGAATTATTAAGATGTGACTCTTAAGATCGCAGGAATATATCTCAATGTCTCATTGGCACGGAAGTCTGGTGCGAACACGATTAAAATAAATGAATATTATCCCCAACCAATTAAAAATAATAGTGAGAACTGACTACTAATGTTTACAGTAGATCATCTGTATCTAACCATCACTAATTAAGTATTAATAGTGTTTGTGATAGTAAGAGACCCAGATTTCTGTGTGTTATGAAAAGTTAAGTTATGACGTGGGTTACCCAGAAAGACTAAGAAATCCTTAGATGGAGGAAAATTTCATTTCAAAGTATATGACACAAATGTAGGCCCAACTGTCATGCCTACAGTAACACTCTCTAGCATGAAGATATTAAGTTACTACAGCTGACTTTACACTCCTACAGCCAACACTGATACAATCTTTCAATTGAGAAACAGAATAAGTTCTTGGGCAACATACCTTTAGCAGCACGGTGTATAACGTCCATTTTAAGAGGTAGAGTAACCTGTGAGAGAGTTAGACTGCCTCTCTCAGTTAGACTGTTGTTGTCTGTACTCTGTGGTCTCAGTGTCTGTTCTACCCTCAGTCTCTGTATCTCATGTAGAGCTGCTTGTCTTCTTTGAGCTGTACAATCACACAATGTTACATGTTACTGTACTTCTTCTAAAGAGACATGCTAAAGCGATATCGATATGTAGTCTTTAGAAAAAACTGTAGAGACAAAAGTAATCTATAAAGAAAGACCACAAAGTCTTAAGTTTACTTCAATAAAGAGTAATTTAATAGATAAACAGTCCTAGTATCATTATAGGTGAATCAAATATTTTTGTTTACGTATTTAGGGACTTTTTCAAGCATTTGAAAAAATAATGTTAACCAAGCAAATGCAGATAAACCAAACGCAAAGAGTTTTACTGTGGCTGCTGATCATTAAAAAAAACCTCTATTTCCACTTGACGTGGAAACTGATATAGATTCTTGGAGTTAAGTCCTAAATCAAAACATTATACAAAGACGATCTGTGTCGAAGGTTTGGTATTTGACTTATACTTATAACTTACTTGCAAGCAGAAGGAGCTTTTCAGCCTCCAGCTGTTCTGTTGACCCTGAGAATTCAATTGTAGAGTAACACAGATTGAGAGCTTGGCTGGCTTGGGAAATGTACGACTGCTGCTTGATTACCTGCAAGCCAGTATAAGATGATTTTATACCAAAGTATAAACTTCATTTAGTTCTGACACATGAAACACATACAAAAACTGGAGATTTGTTTTCTGTTTCACCTTTATAAGCTAGGATAATAGGCTTTAGCTTGAAACCATGTTACAAATTACTTCAGGCTAGTCCTAGAGGTCAAGCACTATCAGATAAATCCATTGGTGATCGGTGGAATTTGAACCCATGACCTTGGGGGCCAAAGATTCGGATAGCTTGACTAATCTGTATGAAAATTATCCATTAAAATCCACGTTTTGGCTCCTGAGCTGTGGTATAATTAAAAATCTAGGTATTTACCTCTGTCTACAGCTCAATCTGTTGTAACTTGTGCAACGGCCATTTTGGCATTAAAATGCCATCATCAGACAGAAGATTTAGCTATGTGTGTCTACTGTAACGACGCTACTTTAGGTGAATATTCTGTCTGATAATGGCATCATAAAGCCGAAACGTCCGTAACGCAAGTTAGAACAGATTGAGCTGTAGACAAAGGTAAATAAATACCTATTTTCAATTAAATTTATCTGTTAGGTAAGGTAAGTGTAAATAACTAAGGTTACTATCGCCAATATATTTTCTGAACTATGCCCCATTAAAAAAGTAACAGATGGAAAGGCGCAATAACATTAAGAGGATCTTTTAAAAAAATGTTCAGTTAGACATTACCTCTTGTTGCAATACAGCAATCTTTTGCTCAACCAGCTTGAGCTCCCTGTCCAACTCCTCCTCCATCCGCTCAATACTGTCGTCTGTGGAGTACTCGGATGGATCTATTCGTACCTGTCTTGTCGGTGATGGAGGTTTCAGAGTCTAGAAAATATACATCAGTCCAATCACAGCTTGTACTAGAAAAAAAAACTGTTAACAAAAACAAAATCAACTTTGCCTAGTTCATATTTTGTTTCAAGACATTCAATTTCAGACAACTTTGTCTGAATAATCAAATGAATGAAAACCACCTACAGTACTACCATAAAAAGCCAAGAGACTTTCGAGGTTTACCATGATGGACCTTATTAAGAATATTTCAAGTAAAATGTAGGCCTATATGTAAAATATTCAAACTATTTTTAAATCCCATCTAAGTGATCATCTTTTGCAATCGTTTTGACATCTTAAATTCTTGATTACGCAAACTTTACAAACATCTCCTAAGATAGCAATAATATTGCTAGACAAAATAAGGGATACAGTAGGTATAAAATCCCAAGGTTTTTAGAGACACTTAGGACTAAACTGAATCATATCTATGTGATTCTAGAATATTTATCATAGGGTCTTGGTTCTAAATCCGAGACCTGTAGGCTAGATACTCTGTTTAAACATTATAACATGTTAAAAGTCTAACTAGGACCACAGAAAACATACTACTATAACCCAGAATGCCAACCGCATGGTAAAAAGCGTTAAGTACTTTGAGAGAGCTTTGCCTGTCAGTTCGTAGGCAGTGCCACCAGCGTTGCAATGCACTCAGCATAGCAACGCTGGTGGCACTGCCTACGAATTGACAGGCAAAGCTCTCTCAAAGTACTTAACGCTTTTTACCATGCGGTTGGTATTCTGGGTTATAGTAGTATGTTTTCTGTGCTAGGACAGAACCATACTAACCATGTTTTGTTGTTTTCTGTAAAAGCTGACTGTGTGCAGTAGAGGCTGTTTGTATGATTCTTCTTGTTGTTGGTTGTTTTGTGAATATTCAAAACTTCTTGAGTGTACACTCCCAGCGTTGTTCTGAAAGTAAACGTTCATTTCATTACATCAAGCCTAACAGGGGGAAAGTAGAGAGGTACAGTAGAACCTCGAGAACTATACTCTCATGGGGATTATTAAATAAGACTTGTTATCAAGTTTGACTTCCTATATGGTTTGCAATACAATGTGATGCGGGGTAAAATAAATTTAAGGAGATTTGAAAACAACACTTGTAATTGAGGGTCTTGTTATCGAGGTTCCACTGTATTATGTTCAGCTTGAATGAGGTGTGAAATGACAATTGATTGCTGTATTTTAAGGAACGCTAGAATAAAAAAGGCTCTACACATATGTGGAGACAACTACAGTCAGTTTAGAGACTATTTTGTGACACATCAAGAAATTGTTATATAATCACCACTGTTAATTTGTACTTGTTAGTCTCAGTACAATGACGTCAACTGTACAAGTGTGTAATCTTGTTCATATAAATCTTTGAATAGTAGGGAATTGCAGGAAGGGGAGGCACTTTGAGTAGCATCACATTAGGAAGGGTGATAAATTTATGGTATGACAAAATATCTCTTATAGGCAATTATTAAAAGGCCTAAGTGTTTTGGCCTATCTGGAGTTTTGGTTGAACTTATCTTCCTATGGTACTTTTCATAGTAATTGGCAAACATATTATATGTTTTGGGTTTGTTCACTGAAATGAAATATCAATGTGAAAAAACCTAATAGTTGGTCTGTTATGATTAACGATTAATTTTTCTTCAATAATAGGCAGATAAACCTACAAAATTGGATGGAAAACCCCACAGGGTTTTTATAAAAGTTATACGTTTTATTGATACTAAAAAAACTGCATGGTATATTTATTTTCCTTTAAAAAAAACATTGACAACTACATTTTCACTCACGCTGTAAGAGATGCGTTTAGGTGGTGTTGATTGGTCTGAGGTGTTCAAAGCTTCATCAAGGAAATCATCAATCTCTTGACCTTCTGCTTCAGATCTGGATCCCTCACTGGCAGACCAGTTCCTCTAGAATTCACCACAATTGTCATGTTTACTCTCTAGTACAATTTATCATCTTTACTTCAAATTCAGTTTTTTTTTTTTAATATAATTCAACATGTTTAATCAAACCAGACCAAAATGAAGAACCAGGACTTATCTATAGTGCACTACTCAATACAGGTCGCACCACTCATCCCACACTCTCTCCATTCATACTTGGCTTAAAATACTTACCTTCGTATGGTCACAATTCAGGTAAGAGTATTAAGTAAAAGGTTGTCAACACTGTACACTTAACGTTTGTTAAATTTCCACATAAAAAGGACTAGACTACCTACTACAAAGTTGTTAGTTTTTTGCTAAATAATTAAATATTTGTGACCACATTTAGGAAACGTGGCATAATACAGTATCTGATATGCAGTATACTGATAGGACTTAATTCAGAGAAACACAAAACACTCCTAGTAAAATTCCTAGTGTTTCTTTAGAGTTCCAAATGCAGTCTTAAAGTATAGTTTATTCAGGGCTAAACATAGCTTTTGGTACAAAATACCCGTTTAAAGCTTAGACATTTAGGATGCATTAAAACTATCGTCAATACATTAAATAAAAAATACTAGGTACACATAACCTACTATAATTTTAAATTTATGACTCACCTTCAAGTTAGATCTAGACAGTTTAACTATGTCTTGTCCTAGGCTGTGCAAATCAGACTCATCGGACATGTCAGATGATGTTGACCTACAATACATAAAAACAAATCAATAACATGTTGTACCTAAATACATTTCTTGGGGTATCAGAACAAGAGGAACTTTACAGTATTTTAATTTTTCAAGTGAATGGAATTTTATTTACAGCAATCCAGAAGTTGTAGTCAAATGTGAAACTACCATTAACAATATCAAGCATTAAAAACAATTCTTAGAATTAGTGCTGCCGTCCTTTATTGCATCCATGAATGAATTAATGAACACAGCTGAGAACACCCCACCTGTTGTTGTTACTCGTGTTGGCACTACTGTCCAACTCTGCAGCCTCACTGCTCTCTACCTCCATATCAGACAAGTTAGGATACAGGTGGCCTGGCTTGGGTGGAGACAACTTGATCTTCTTGACATCTTTCAGCACTGGATAAGCTGTCAATCAAGAAAAGTCTTACACTGTGTTTTATCTTTACACGTTTTAGTTGATACCTACTATGCTTTAGCAGTGCTGTTACATATACTTAAACTTATAAGAGATCTCTTGACGACCTTGACATTAGTTTCAATTTAAATGGTAAAGAACAAAGGAATAGTAACTGTGAATATGTGTAAACTACTCATTTCACTTTTATGGGGTGGTAAGACATTTTTGTGAATTTTAATGTTGTTTGAATCATACAGCCAACAAAACTAACCCATTGATTGCTGTGCTCTTAATTGAAAGTTCAACATTTTGGGATCTCAATGTTTCCCTAATAATCATGCATGATATGCATTGCTTGAGTAAAGAACATAGGCCTAGTACAAAAACTAGATAAAAGTGAAATGATTCCTTGATTTTGAATCAATAATGTAATGTGTATCAAGGCATACTAACAGTAAGGTAATTTATCATAATTCAGAATCAATTAGTAAGTGAACAAAATTTTTTGAAAATTAAGTTTATCCTACCTTAAGCAACAATAACTATACTTATCTTGTATTCTAATCAAACCAATATAAATATTTTATATAGCTAGTTGTAGATAAGCAATATACCTTCTTTTGGTTTAAGAAATTTAGGAGAGTCTTGAGGTTCTGACATTTCAGGGTATTCCTCTTCTTCTTGTTCATAGAAACTACTATTTCTCCTGCTTCCGTAGTTAAAGTTCTGCGGTGGGGATGGCAGAGGTGGGGGTGTTGGGGGTGGAGCTGATGGCTGAAATTTAAACAAATAATGGTACAACAAAACAGAAACATAATAAAATAATAAAACTAGGTTGAGTATAACATCCACACACCAGGCAATCTTATCTTTCGCATGATTGGGCATTTTAATGTGAAAGTGAAGGACGAGTGTACTACGAGTGTGCTATGCAGGACGCTACATGGTACCATAAGACAAAAATGCCCAGTAGGTTACAGTATTTTGATTTAGTTAAGCCATAATCTGTATTTTTTTATAACTTATAATTTAAAGTCACTTGGTGATATTTAAAAAAAAAACTTGGTACACTTTAAGAAGGTTCCATTAATAGTTTCAAGTTTCAACAAATGTTGCTTATCAAACTATATAAATTTTAAAAGGGCGGCCTTTTAAAAATGTCCAAGTCAATTTAAGTCAATTTCATAAAAACCCCTAATTCAATATTATATATGTTACCAGACAATTAAATTTAAATCTTAAATGACATTTTTATTGTAAATATTAGTTGGTAAATAAACAACTTGTGGCATTTTTTAATGATCTAAATCGAAATCAATCTAGTAGCCATTTAAACATTTTAAGTTATAGTCCTATCTTTTTTGCATGTAGTGTCTAAATTCAATTGTAAGTCCATAATGATGTTATTTGGTCCAGGATCACTTCTTGAAAATTTAAATGGTATAAGATTACAGTAGAACCTCTTTAATCCGAACTAATTGGGACCAGGGGTAGTTCGGACTATTGAATAGTTCGGATTACAGAACATATTGTTGTTTTTACATAACAATAGCTAAAACATGGCAAAAATTGATCAAAATTATTTTGGGAAAAGTGAAAAATGTTTTATAAAGTAAAATACAGTGTTTATTTAATACAGTAGTAAACATGGTGAATAAACAGTACTGTAGATTAAATACAGTATACAATAAAGAACTGCTGTACTGTGTATAAAGTACAGCAATGAGGGGTTCGGATTAGTGGACGTTCGGATTACGGGGGTTCGGATTAAAGAGGTTCTACTGTACCTGTTTCTGTCTGTGATCCTAATTTGTAGTATGAGCTACCGGTTTCGAGGTTATAACCTCATCATCAGGCTTCTTGTCACTCTTGCGAGGTCGTCGAGTTTTATAAACACACAAAACACTGACATTTAAATAAATAAGTTACAAGACATTGACGGATACCTACAATACGAATATATTTAACATAAAAAAAAAAAAAACTGGAACTAGTTCCCACACGACGCGGCACGGGCAAACGTTTTGTCATTACTCATGTTTGTCATGTGAGTCATGACAAAACGTTTGCCCGTGCCGCGTCGTGTGGGAACTAGTTCCAGTTTTTTTTTTATGTTAAATATATTTGTATCGTATCCGTCAATGTCTTGTAACTTATTTATTTAAATGTCAGTGTTTTGTGTGTTTATAAAACTCGACGACCTCGCAAGAGTGACAAGAAGACTGATGATGAGGTTATAACCTCGAAACCGGTAGCTCATACTACAAATTAGGATCACAGACAGAAACAGGTAATCTTATACCATTTTAATTTTTAATTGTAAGTTTTTTTTACAATGATGTTCTTCAAGTCTTGAGAAAGAAGCTTCATACAGATCGATAACTGAGAGACACCCTGCATGCTCTTAAGTCAAATGAAGTGTCTACTTTGGCCTGGCTGACATACCTTGTAGTCGTCAGGTTTCTGAGTTAACAGTCCTTTGTTTCTGTCACATCGATTCTTCAACATCTCCAACTCCTTCTGCCTCTCGGAGAGAGCTTCCTTCACATGGTCTTTCTCGTGGTTCTCAGCAGTCCTCTGAAAAGCAGCAACCCTGTTGTGAAGAGAACCTGTGGAAAATGAAAAATAAATGTTGATGGGTTAGGAAAAAGCCAAAGTGGTCTACACTAAGATTGATTAGGTAGTATGACTGACTAGGTAGCAGAGTAGTTAAAATTGGGCTCACAAAGTAATCAAGTGGTTGCTGGTTTACACCAGAGAAAAGTCAAGAGCTTTTTCACGGTTCAAAACTGAACCCATCTGTCATTGATCATCGAGCTTTCAATAAGTGGTCTACTAAATAACAACCTGATCTTAGTCAATAACAAATCATTTCACTTGTTAAACTCTTAGTCTTCACTCATCTTCCTCTCAAAATATGTACACTGTGTCAGCATCGTATAAATCTTATCCAATCCAAATGTGTCTCTTTCCCACTGAATTTAATTAATTTTGTCAGTTGGCAAAAAAAAAAAAAAACTGTAGAAAATGTATAACAATAAGTAAGTTAAGTAGGATTTTAACATTTTAGTTAGGCTACACATTACACATAACATTTGATGATTTTAATGAAAAAAACAGATGGATTAAAATACTTAAAGAACAGACTACCGGTAGATTTTAAATCAAGATTAACTGATGAACAAAATATGGATGAACACAAAAAGAAACTACCTAAAGTGGTCCAAGGAAGACTATGAAAATAATTAACAGGAATAGGCCTAGTAATAATAATAATGGACATTAAACTTCCACAACAATTAAAGTTCAACAATTAAACAATTAAAATTCAACATTAATTAATGGATTATTAAACTTATCTATGTACCTTGTTGCTTTGACGTAGACCTCTGTTCTGGTTTACTCTGCAGCTTTTTTGCAGGGACGGCCTGGCCAAACGGAGCCTTGGGTAGTACAGCTGTACCTGCATTGCGCTCAAAAAGAGCTCTGCGCTCGGCCAGTGAGAGTTCTGTGGGGTCTCGCGCTCGCTTGCTAGGACTCGTAGCCTCCTCGTAGCGTTGAGCTCTGTCTAGCACTGAGCCACTCGGTGGTGTAGAGGCCATCTTACGAGGACTGTGTAACTGCTTAAAGAGAAACAATTTGGGATTGTGAGTGAGACCATATGTTAAAGACCAAAAATGTGTGACTAATGTTTGTTAGTTAGAATTTTTAAGAAAAAGGGATGTTTTAGTGTAAAATCATTGACTTTTGAATACTGAAGTAGACGTTCCATCTGCAAGGACCAGCTGTAGTCAATTTTTTTTAGTTAAAATTCTACTCTTTCCATTAGTTTTTGATACTATGATAGTTGATAGGATGTAGTAGATGTTCCAGTTTTCAATAAATCTTTTCTGTCAGTTTACTTGGTTAAAAAGTGAATTATTCTACTTTTTGATTATTGATTTTGATTGAGTTGACTTGTTCCTTTAATATAAAGTTAGGTAGAAGATTAAATTAAATTTTAGGCTATATCCTTTAGGTTTCAACAATGACTAAAACGTAGACCAATATCTCAGAGAATCTAAAATTAAAGTTACATAGGCCTACTAAGCTGATATTTTATCATCTTGGATATTGCCTTCTGGATTACTTCATGAATTGTATACGAGAGGTTAAGTTAACTTGATTCTTTCCAAGTAATCCTTAAGTCGTCATTAGTGCGACCGGTTTCGATGTCTATGATAGCATCATTGTCAAGCTGGACGTAAAATCCCTCCTAGGAGGTCGTCATGAATCTTGAAAAACACGTAACACATACACAAACAAAAAACGATAAAATGTATGTAACTAATTTACAACACGGTAGCGCCGTGTTCCCGTTTACTCATTTACTTATTTACTACACCCTGTACCCGCCGCCGTATTGTAAATTAGTTGTGTGGCCATGTATTTTATTGTTTTTTGTTAGTGTATGTGTTATGTGTTTTTCAAGACCCATGACGACCTCCTAGGAGCGATTTTACGTCCAGCTTGACAATGATGCCATAGACATCAAAACCGGTCGCACTAATGACGACTTAAGGATTACTTGGACAGAATTAAGGTAACTTAACCTCTTGTATACATGATATTTTATGACGTTTTATATTCACCTGTTTGATTCCCATTGTCGGTAGCGGTGTGTCAACATCAATAGATGGGGGTATCGCTTCTTGAGCCTTGACTACTGTTGTGCCCATTTTGATGGGGCTTCCAAACCTGTACAGAGAATGAAATTGGTACATAATTAGTTGAGGTAAGTACATTACAGTAGATCAAACAAATTCAATACTTCCACACAAAAAAATAAAAAGAGAATGCCAGGTATATGATTAAGTAATAATGCACTTCGATAATTCCTTTTTGACTAGCTAGACATTCCATCCCTATGTTAAAAGTTGTGGGCAGTATTTTTTATCAAAATCGTCGTAGTTGATGTGAGCCACTGACAGATTGTGCTGATCTAAATTATATTTCCAACGGATACACAAACTTTTTTCCAAAGTCAAACTGATGCAACAACTTATTTTGAGCTATAGCACTGTTATGGCCAATCAACTATATCAACAACATAAAATAAGGTTGGAAATGGTATTTAGACACTAGCACATTCTGTGACTGGCTCACACAACTAAGCTTATGTACTATTCCAATGAAAGATTTGCAACCACTGGTCCATATGGATGGGTAGTCTACTTCAGAATCCAATTGTCAATAATTTCAGTGGCTGACTAATTTCATTTTAAAAACTGATCATATAATTTGTTTTGGACTTACCTTGTCTTGATGGGCGAAGTCTTCACTGGAGACTTCTGTGGAGACACACTCCTAGTCGGAGATGGTCTGTTGTGAGACGGGCCTGGTCTCTCATAGTCATAAACTATCTGTGGGGACACATTCCTAGTCGGAGAAGGTCTGCTGTGAGGTGGGCCTGGTCTCTCATAGTCATAGACCATATGTGGGGACACATTCCTAATTGGAGAAGGTCTGCTGTGAGATGGGTCTGGTCTCTCATTGTCATCTGAGGAGCTCATCTGAGGAGACACACTTCTAGTTGGAGATGGTCTGTTGTGAGATTGGCCTGATCTCTCATAGTCGTAAACCATCTTATGATTGGTCTGAGATGAGGAAAACCCTTGTGCTTCCTGGAAAATATAAACCTTACTTTTGACAACCTTTCTTAGAAAATAAACCTTTTCCAAACTAACTTCAAATTAAATATTTTTTTAGATGAGATGAGATGAATGAGCGTTTGTGATTTCTACTATAGACATATCAAGGACAAAATATGATGATTTAGTGTTTCGGTTGTATGTGAAAGGGTGGAGAAAATAGTGTATTTGAGTCTGATATATCATCAGCATGTACTGGTGTAAAGTAGCTTAAAAACTATAGATTTGGCTAGATTCTTGTATTAATGGCAATATGTAAAAATCAACTGAAAGATGGTACATAAGTATTGAAGATAACACACTACATACTGCATTTTTCTAAAGTTTTGTGTTCAAAAAAATCCTGACACGAAACCCTTTCTCTAATATTGTATTCTTCTCGTGTGTAGAATAGTAAAAAAATATTCATCCTGAGATAGGTTAACACTACAAACTTTTTTAAAGATCTTTAAACTATAGTTTGCATAATCCAGTCTTTGGCACATGCTAAATATAATGCAAATTCTTACTAGTTAATTAGATCTCTGAAACTGATTTTTACAAAATCAAATTTGTCATGCCACTACCTCTCTCTAACTAATTTGAAATTATACACAACAATAAAATTATTATGAATTTGTTTTAAGCCACAATTACTGTTCAAGTTAGTAATATTCTTGCACAATCAGGTACATTAGGTAAATCATAGAATAGCGTAAGCTGAATTCGATTTATATTTTTATTTTTATTTTAGCAGTCAAAATAAAAAGGTATAATGTCAAAGACTACTACAAACTTCTACACAGAGAGATCTACTAAGAAGGATCAAAGCGCTTCTTTTATTAATCTACCAAACACCTCTAAATCTTTATCTTAGAAATTATGCCTGTGAAACACATAGTTATTTTACAGAGATTGTTCAACAAAGAAAATTACAATTGTCTACAATAGACTGCTACGAAGAGGGGTGGAGCCGCAACAATATGCACAAGTGAATAGATCTTCTCACCAGCGAATCCATGACTGACTTGTCCCATAGAATAGTTTTAGTGCTCTTAGCACCTCTAAACTGCGGGGAAATCCTTGTCTCTGAACTGTGTTTCAAGATAGACGGCATTGTTTTCTCAGGAGTTCTCTGTCGCCTACTCTTGGTGTTTATGTTTCTTATGTCTTTAGGGGGAGAACTGAACCTCTCAGTTGGTTCTCTCCCTTTTTGATAGGAAATGAATTTTCTATGATCCTGGTCTTCTTTTTTACTTGTATACCCAGAGTGTTTTGTTAAAACTGAAGTTTTTGTTGGTGAAGGCTGTTATGGTAAAATATAACACAACTGTATCAGTTATTATAAACTAAAATTGAAGATTTTGTATTTATGCCCTGTTTTCACTAAACTATTATTCATATATTAACATTTTAGGGATAGAGAGCTTGTGGCTAATTACACAATAAAATGTAACAAATTATAACAATGATGTTTTGTCCTATAGAAGGACTTTTTTAGAGAATAGGTTGAAGAGATATAGATGAAGAAACAAGCAACTTGATTTTTCCTTTATCTGAGTATATACAAAATGTTTGTGCCTATCTGTATTTACAAGGTAGAGTAAATGTGAAACAATGCTATCACTATGAGAAAACCAATGGGTGAAATGAATGATATATGATTCATTCTGAGGAACTAGTGACATATTGGTGGGTAAGAAAAAGGCCTTTTACTTACTTTTAGATTTAGATGTTTGTTAGATAGGCTATATTGGCTTTTAACTCAAATTACAACAATTGTAAATTTGAGTTTATTTTGATAACTTATTTACAAACAGTATTGCAAAAATGTTTAGATGTTACCTTCTTCAGTGGTATGTGTCTGGGGTCGTCCTCCCAGTGGTTGATAGTATCAGCCAGGGCTGCCAACCTAGCACTCCGACCAGAACTCCTTATATCATTCCTTACCATCGGTTTGGATTCTGATTCCTTAACTTCCTCGATGTAAAAATGTTCCTCAGTTTTGTGGATTGGTGACGATAGTCTTGATGGGTCATCTATTAAAACCATGATTTATGACAAAAATTGAAAGCGTATTTAATATTGTTTAACTACTTTGAGAGAATGAAAACTTGTGTGGTATGGGAAGTGTTGATTTCTGTATTTAGAGGTTTAAAAAAACTTGCAAAGTTTAAATAGGGCACGCCCCAAGTTCTTTGATAAAACATCTTAGTTAGTTGTAAATTTTATATTACATCATTGTAATTTGCTATGCCCTGTGCCATGTAAATGATTTAATAGATAGGCTTTAGTATTGCAAACTTGTCACCAAAGCTGTAATTAAACTATATTTTTGGTCAAATTTAAATAAACCTTGGAGAGTTCTAATCCACATTATTTGTATACACCACTACTTTATTTACAACCAGATAAGAAAAACCAAAGTAAAAGAAGGTTATAAAGTCAACATTTATATTGTAACTCCTCTGTTTCAGTTTGCTACAATCTTTTTATTTACTAACCAGAAATAACCAACACAAAGACTCCTCATCTCATGTAAATTTTGAAGCTTATTTTTAATGTCTAGTTCGTGTAGTGTGTCAATGGGCACTAGTGTCGACAAAATTTTGTTTAAAAGTATCTTAAGGGTATTATTACATTTACTGTGTACTAAAAAAATAGTTCTATTTTAGTAGGAGAAGAAGTAACTTAAACAGATTTCACTCTTGCATTTCAAAACATTCAAACATATGAAATTGTAAAAATGTGGGAGGTAGTTCGGTACCTGAATAAAGTACTCCAAGACGTTTCAGCCGAGATTTGGTATCTTGGCGCAAAAGACAGTTTGCGTTAGGGGAACTTGCATTCTCTTTGTCTTCTGAGGATGATTCTTCTCCCTCTGAAGTATTACGAGTGTCGTCAACATTTTCAACTACTTCCTCTTTTCTGGGACTCGACACTTGTCTTGTCGGGTGTTTTGACATGGTCACTGTGGTTTCAATTGTAACTTTGTTACTACCAGAATAGTGCTTTTTAATATTGACTGGAAAATGCAATGTAAATTTGTATCAGTAAAAAAATTAAAATGCCCTCTATTAAAATTGAACATTTAAATCAAATCAAAATAATTTTTATTTAAGCTGTACACATACAGATTTAAGGTTATTTATTTAGGTATTTATTTAGTAATACAAGACCTATTTTAAACATATAAGAACATTGACTTAAGTAGGCCTACTGTAGATTAGCTAAATAGCTTTCAATCAAAAAATAATAACAAGATAATTTTAAATGTTGGCCTGCATAGACTAACAGTAAAAATACTTCATGTATTAACTCTAGATCTGGCGGTCATTTTATTCACCAGTGGCGGGTATATTTTGGCGCTTTTGTAGTGGTACCTATCATATATTTTGCCACAGAACATTTATTTGTGAATATAAGTACACACATATATATATTTTCTATTTCAGTGATGGATTTAGAATATAATAATATAAAAATATTCTTTTCCTAGCAATGCGTTTAGGCGTAGTAGCAAAAGGTTTGCAAATTTTTGGATTATGCAAATTAGAAATTTCAAAAGCAACCCACAAGAAAACTACAAAATAATTTGTTTACACATTTTATCTAAATGTAAAGTTTGTGTGAAATATGATTCCCTACGTAGAAATATCAATGTTTTTTAAATACTCAAAAAAATAAAATTATAAAAAAATAAATTCTTCATACATATTTTCTTTTTTGAAAAACGACCAAATTTCTTTTTGTTACGTAGGAAATAATAGAATGCATCAACAAAAAATTAAATGATACTGTACAATGGGTAATAAATCACATTTATTCCCTATTTAAATCAAATCAGTTTACCACATACTTAGGTTTGCTGCAACAGGGAGGGTTAAAGTGTTTTTTTTATGTAAAATGTTAATAGTTAGTAAGAAATAAAAACATTTTCCAAATTTGGGCAAAATATGTTAATAAATAAGCAAACTACAACAGTTTACTTATCCTCCATAAGAATAACATGGGAATTTTAAATTTACAATTTTTTTGAATTTTCTCCGTAACCAGTAGGCGCATTATAACGCTTCAATATACTAAATTATTTGTTTTTTTAAGCTCTACAAAATAGTTTAGAAAGAAATTGCAAAAATTTAAGTTTTTTGGGTCAAAAATGGGAAAAACCCATTTTTACCCCATAAAAGCCCCCATAAACCCCCGTTCCCATGGTCCGATCATGCTGGTTCGCGAACTCGTTCGAATAAACTTAGGTTTACACGTTTGTACCAAATTTCATCAAAATCGGATCATTTTTGCTCGAGTTATCGCGCTAACGGACACATATATATATAAATATATATATATATAAATATATATATATATATATATATATATATATATATGAATTTGAACGGATGCTATTTTTGGCCTCTAGGGACCTCAAAACGAAAAAAAAAATCGGTCCCGGGTCCAGGTCTTACCATGAGTACTACGGTAATAGCTTATTCCCTATATGGGAAATTCGCTAAAAAGATCTTTCTGAAAATGTATAGTTATATTTAGTTGAATTCTAAAATGTCGGAGAAATTTACGTCAGAATGTAAAATTTTGAAGATTTTTTTACAAAAACATAATATTTATGGCATTTTTAAAAACAAATAAAATTTGTATGATCAACCTTATAGATTCACAGTGAATTGTAGGGAATTTATTGTAGTTTCAGAATATGTACTAATATTGTATATACAATTTAATTGACAATCACCAAAAACAGCTGTTTTTGTAGTCAGGTGACCAAAACTTTCCACCGCCAAAATCTATTTTGAACTCTCTAGTTTTTCAAACTACCGTTTCTCGCTACATAATTCTCACTCAATAATGTTTTATGCATGAAAATGAATCCTCAGAATCTCATCTTTCCAATGGTATAAGATTTATTGCGTTTTAAAACTGTTTTCATATTTTAATAATAGAAAAACCCGACCCATGTCATCTTGGTCTATAATCGACCAGCACCACTGAGAACTCACGTTTTAGTGGTCGAAAATCGACCAGCGCCAGATAGAGGGTTAATAGGCAAGCATGAAACTTGCATTTTGGCAAGCACAAACTTCATCGCATGGGAAATCTACGTATACTGTTAGAAAGATATTTTCCTGTAGATTTGCAGAATCTCTTTATAAATTAAAATATGTTGACAAATCAGCACAAAAAAAATTAATTTTAAATTTTAAAAATAACATGGGTCTTATACCCTGCTATGATGGTGACAAAATAACAACGAAATATAAAGTAAATCAAAACAAATGGAAGAAATTCCAATCACATGTTTTATTTACAGAGTGGGGTGAAAATAGAGAGTCATAAGGGTGTATATAAGTTACATTACATATTTTTGCCTGAGTTTTTGACCACTGGACAAGCTCTAGTATCAATAATTAGGTTGATAACATGCAATATTTTACTCAGTTGACGATTATTTTGAGGAAGCACCAACTTATGACCGCCCACCGCCATCTAAAGCATAAGTTGTAAATAGATGTTTTATTGAAAGTTTTATTTTTAAATGTTTGACGCTGTCTATTCCGCTCTGGCTGGTCAAAGACGAAGAGGAGGTAATAAGGTAATAATAGGAATTAAAAGAAATATAGCACTCTTAATAAATTGCATATATGGGCAATGTTCATAGTTGATTGCAGGTTCAGCTCATGGTCTTTGAGGGAACTGAGAAGAACTTGAGTACGGTACATAGAGTACTAATCGAGCTTCACTCTTGTTAAAGGCTGTATTTAATTGTGGCAATAGTCGAGGAAAAAACGTCAAAATCCCAGGGAAGAAAAAGGCTTTTTTTATTCAAGCCATTGGGCTGTTTTATTCATATGTTAGCCTAGGCCCTTATCATTTGTAATGAGATATTTGTTGGTTATCTGAAAAGCAAAAACGTTGCATGCAGTGATGTACAAAATCTATTGCCCAGTTAAGTCAGAGTGCAAAAAAAATTATACCATAGGCCTAAACCTAAAGTAGTAGGTTAGATACTAAATATAACATAGGCTGTGTTAACAAATGAATATGAAAATATTAAAATTAAAAGCGTCACGCAGCAAAGAATAAACTTCGATAACAAAATGTAATGTTTTAACTTCAAAGCTACGATTCAGAGAGAAGGCCTATGTTAATCTTAACAACATCATTTAGCATGTGCTGTCTATGATAGTTTTTTTTTAACGCCAAATGACACCGTTTTAACGAGCTTCCCACGCAAGGATTTTGTCCAGAAAACAGATGTTTGCCACCAGCTTAATCAAATGGGGTTTCATTACGTACTACTGTACTGTACTGGGATACTGAGTTTTTATCAGACACCTACCAGCTGATTATATTTGGAAATGAGTGGTTATAAACAAAACCATAACCTCTCTTAGGTTATCAGTAAGTTAGTGATTGTTAGTCCTTTAGTCGGTGGGAATATAAAGATTTGTACAAATTTTATATTGTTTGCTTAGAGTAAGTATGGCATAAAATATTGTAAGTCAAACGTCCAAAATGTGTTTTCCGAACTCGTATGGTAATCCACACTTGTACGGTAAATACCTATTTTCAGGAATAGTAACATAATACTATTACAGAAGAAACCTAAAAGCAAAAAGGCAACTCTGTCAAGTTTATATAAGTTTAAGTCTTTTCTAGAGTATCTTCTTACCACTTGTTGATGCAACAGTGGTAACGGTGTTTTGATTGACTTGTTTCAGTGGCTCTGAAGCTACGCCCTTCACATCAATCTTTGCCTGGCGTGAACGATTACGTTCAAGCATTCTCTGTTAACATAAAAAAATGGTTAGAAATAACTTTGATAGAATTAAGTTAAAATACAATCTGAATGCACAATGGTGTAGCCTTAAAAACTTATAAGTTAACTGGTGGTAAATACGAGACATTAGGCTAGCTTTTTTAATCACAAAGTCCTCGGCTATATTCGGTATGATTTGGAAGCGTTTGTTACGGCGCGATGGTGGGGAGTTCTTCCTCCAGAGAAGGTAGGCCTATCATGCGATTGAACTAGTTAACTTACAACCAGTCAATTAGATCTGCCCACCTCACAACCGCTAAAATTGCCGGTAACTTAACTTAGGCCCTAATCATTCAATTTCTAACACAAATAGGCTAGGCCCATAACTACACAATAAGTTAATATATAGATTAACTTAGCTTAAGTTTAGGCCTACATATGTACCATAGGGGAGGCTACTAAAAGTTAATTTAACTTAGACCTTGGCTTGAAAGTTTAGGCTCAGGATTTTTTGGTCCCAACTAAGTTAACTTGTACTGGAACTATGATAGCTTAAATGTAAGTTACAAATAAAACTTATCTGAGTAATTCTAACTAGCTTGTAACTTATGCACCGGTTTTCCAGCTACAAAAATCAACATGCTTCAATCAAACCAATTGCACTACAGTGAAAGTTATAATTTTGTGAACGTTATATGCCTAAAACCATTACTTATGTTAATTAGGCCCAAGCTAGGCCTAAGTTATGTCTGGCAAAATATAGGCCTAACTTAAGAGAGAATTATAGTAGGGAATCCCATAAACAGGTTTGATAAAGGTGTAGCTGCACTTTTAGTTTACGTCCTACACTCATTCGGTTAAGTTAGCTAGATGGATGTAAAACTGCCAATAAACCAACATTAAGCTATGACGTCAGCGTCAGATCAGTAGATCAAGAAGGCCGTGGCTGAAAAACTTCCTAACCTCAAAATGTATTTTTCACTATAAAATTTAAAACATATGACTTTTAAGCATTTTCAGAGTGTTTTTTGTACAAAAATACAATTTTTATGTAACTGAGGTGATTAATAAAGTCTAATAACCACTAATAATACTTGTTTCTATACCATTAATTGTATCACGCAATGTACTCCCACGTGCAAAGATAGTATAAACCTAAGCTAGTAAAAACAATATTCTTCAAAAACGGTTTATACGATTTTGATGATTTTTATGTAGTATGATTATAAATACTTAAGCTACATGAGAAATAAACTGCATTCCCATACCATGGTTATGATGGAATCTATAAGATGCAGAATTTGGACCTGTTCATTTCTAGGCTACTGACTTGCCGATTCAGTTAAAAATGTATATCTCAAAAATCGTTTACACGACTTTATTGATTTGTATGTAGTATGATCATAATGTCTTAAGCTAACTCATAAATAAATTGCATTCCCATACCATGCTTATGATGGTTTCTATAAGAGGTAGAAGTTGGGCCTGTTCATTTCTAGGCTACTGACTTACAGATTCAGTTAAAATTGTATATCTCAAAAATCGTTTAAACGATTTTAATTATTTTTATGTAGTATGATCATAATGTCTTAAGGTACCTGAGACATAATTTGCATCCCCATACCGTGGTTATGATGGTTTCTATAAGAGGTAGAAGTTGGGCGTGTTCATACCTAGGCTACTGACTTGCCGATTAAGTAAAAATATTATATATCTCAAAAATCGTTTACACGATTTTAATAATTTTTATATAGTATGATCATTATTTCTTACGCTACATGTGAAATTAATTGCATTCCCATACCATGGTTATGATGGTTTCTATAAGAGGTAGAATTTTGGCCTGTTAATTCCTAGGTTACTGATTTGCCGATTTAGTTAAAATATTATATATACTAAATCTTTTACACAATTTTGATAATTTTTACATAGTATGATTATAATGACTAAAGCTACCTATGAAATAAATTGCATTCCCATACCATTCTTATGACGGTTTCTATAAGAGGTAGAAGTTGGGCCTGTTCATTCCTAGGTTACTGATTGGCCGATATAGTTAAAAATGTATATCTCGAAAACCGTTTACAAGATTTTAATGATTTTTATGTAGTATGATCATAATGTCTTAAGCTAACTGAGAAATAAATTGCATTTCCATACCATGCTTATGATGGAATCTATAAGTGGTAGAAGTTGTGCCTGTTCATTTCAAGGCAACTGATCTGCCGATGTAGTTTAAAATGTAAATCTCTAAAATCGTTTAAACGATTTTAATGATTTTTATGTAGTATGATCATCATGTTTTAAGCTACTTGAGAAATAAATTGCATTCCCATACCATTGTTATGATGGTTTCTATAAGAGGTAGAAGTTGGGCCTGTTCATTTCTAGGCTACTGACTTGCCGATTCAGTTAAAAATGTATATCTCAAAAATCGTTTACACGACTGTATTAATTTGTATGTAGTATGATCATAATGTCTTAAGCTAACTCATAAATAAATTGCATTCCCATACCATGCTTATGATGGTTTCTATAAGAGGTAGAAGTTGGGCCTGTTCATTTCTAGGCTACTGACTTACAGATTCATTTAAAATTGTATATCTCAAAAATCGTTTAAACGATTTTAATTATTTTTATGTAGTATGATCATAATTTCTTACGCTACATGTGAAATTAATTGCATTCCCATACCATGGTTATGATGGTTTTTATAAGAGGTAGAATTTTGGCCTGTTAATTCCTAGGTTACTGATTTGCCGATTTAGTTAAAATATTATATATACTAAATCTTTTACACAATTTTGATAATTTTTACATAGTATGATTATAATGACTAAAGCTACCTATGAAATAAATTGCATTCCCATACCATTCTTATGACGGTTTCTATAAGAGGTAGAAGTTGGGCCTGTTCATTCCTAGGTTACTGATTGGCCGATATAGTTAAAAATGTATATCTCGAAAACCGTTTACAAGATTTTAATGATTTTTATGTAGTATGATCATAATGTCTTAAGCTAACTGAGAAATAAATTGCATTTCCATACCATGCTTATGATGGAATCTATAAGTGGTAGAAGTTGTGCCTGTTCATTTCAAGGCAACTGATCTGCCGATGTAGTTAAAAATGTATATCTCTAAAATCGTTTAAACGATTTTAATGATTTTTATGTAGTATGATCATCATGTTTTAAGCTACCTGAGAAATAAATTGCATTCCCATACCATTGTTATGATGGTTTCCATAAGAGGTAGAATTTGTGCCTGTTCGTGTCTAGGCTACTGATTTAACCATTCATTAAAAAATTTGTATCTCGATATACGTTTACACAATTTTGATAAATTTTATATAGTATGATCATAATGTTTTAAGCTACCTGTGAAATAAATTGCATTCCCATACCATGGTTATGGTGGTTTGTATAAGAGGTAGAAGTTGGGCTAGTTCATTTCTATGCTATACTTATTTGACGAATTAGTTAAAAACTTATATCTCAAAAACCGTTTACACCATATTGATGAATCTTATGTGGTATGATCATAATGTCATAAGCTACCTGTGAAATAAATTGCATTCCCATACCATGATTATGATGGGTTCTATAACAGGTAGAACCCATTCAATGCTTATGATGGTGTCTGTATGTGGTAGAAGTTAGGCCTGCACCTTACTGTGCTACCGATTTTTCAGATAAAAAAAAATATTTCAAATTTGGCACCATAATTTTACCACTGGGTCATTTTTTTTTCTTTTTCTTTAGACTTTACATTGAATGTTACATTGACTATTTATTTTTTTTATTGCAGCCTCCTCCTCCCCTTATAGCTGCTCTTTACCTCGCCATAATTTTTACCACTGGGTCATTTTATCTTAAGTAAGGTAATATATTTTTAAGAATTGTTTATCATTTTGTTTAGGCTATTAATTATATGTTACATCGACAATATTAATTTTTTTTGCAGCCTCCTCCTCCCCTTATAGCTGCTCCTTACCTCGCCATAATTTTACCACTGGGTCATTTTATCTTTCTTTTTCTTTAGGCTTTACATTAAATGTTACATTGACTATTTATTTGTTTTATTGCAGCCTCCTCCTCCCCTTATAGCTGCTCCTTACCTCGCCATAAATTTACCACTGGGTCATTTTTAGACTGTAGGCCAATGTTAGATGTGAAAACCTTGAGGATGATTTTAGTAAATATTAGTAAGAATTTAACAGTGTTCTCATGTGGTTTGTAATGTAATAATGATAATCACTGTTATATTTAAATATAAATTTTACAGCCTATACTTTTTAAAGACTATTAGAGACAGTGAATGAAGGCAACCTATTACTCTTATTTTTGTTGTTGTAAATATTTAGTTTGGTAGTACCTGCATAAAATACAAAAGAAATCTATGTGTTCTAACACTTGAGTAGAACTTGGCACATCAGGTGGTAAGCAATTTCCACCACCTTTCTTACTAGTGTGAAACCACCTTTTACAAGCAGTACATTCAACGCAAAAGTCATTTTGGTTTCTTGGTGAGTCGGGAAATTGTCCATTGCAAAATGTAACATGTATTAACCATATAGCCTGAATAGCTAAGGAGCTTTTTGAATAACAATATTCTATGTTGATCTGAATCAAACATCAAGTCTATTGAACCATTTGTTTTTAATTGTTCTATGAAATACAAAATGAATACACCACAATTGTAACTGTCAGTTTGAACAGGATGTCTTAAATGGCCATGTTGCCATGATTTGACTATGTCATCAAAGTCAGTGTTGGTTATGTTTGAGTAAAATTTTAGAAAGTTGTTAAATATATACTTTTTTCTGTTAGGATTGACAAAATCTGATGAAGGATCAATAAGGTAAAATGTATGGTCCTTCACGTTTGCATAGCCTAAAACCCAGTGCACGTTATCAATGTTCAATGGGAAAAATAGCTGTTCTGCAACAGAAATATCTGCAATTGATTTTGTAAGCAACCAGTGGTTAGGTTTGATATTTTCTCCTTGGACAAGACTTAATGTTGCAACATTGTCATGAACTATTGAACTGTTATGGTTGTCTTTTCCCATGAGTATAAGCCCTACAGCCTCTATGACAGAGTTGTCCAGCCAAGATTTGCCCCGTAACAGTTCAATATCATTAATGTACAAGCAACACTTTGAGTTGTTCCGACCTTCGATGGAACAAACAATGTAATTTTTCCTCTGTGGTAATTGAGTATAATAGTTAGGGTCAGAAATCAAGCCATTATCTAAAATCAGATTTGTTATCGTTAATTGGTGTTCATGTGTCATAACGTAAGGTTTTTGAACATGATTTTGCAAGTACTTAGATTGGAAATAGCTTGGGCGAGTTATCTTAGAGGGTTTTTCCCAAGACTCCTCGACAACATCCATGTCTTCATCTGACAGCAAAAGCATTCCAGTTTTATTGTTATCAGGTACTGTCTGTGCTTTAGAATTTTTCTTAGATTTAGTACTCAATTTCAAATGTCTTTTAACCACATTATTCCTCGGTTTACGAACACAGCAACCTTCCTTAGGTATGTTTAGTGTGATTTCTTTGCAACGGGCCTCAATAACCCTTCTTACCATCCTAATAAACCTGTTAGCTCTGAGATTAGTTTGTCCCTTTAAAATTACATTTTTAACCATACCAAACCAACTTTCAACCGGGGCATTGCTTAATCTCTTTAATGCTGTAACATTAACTTTGCTTTTTAACATAATGGCAGACCACAGTGGTAAAAAAGCTACAAATCTCTTAGCAATGAGAATTGCTAATTTCGGGCAGTAAAACGGATTCTTATTAGGCCTACAGTCTATATTTGAG